GGGGGTGTGCATGTCTGTGCGCGTGCGTGCACATGTGAATGTGCATGCACTGGCATAGAATACAGGACCTTGCACATGCAAGGCAAAGAGTCTACTGCTGAGCTACACTCCCAGCCTTACATGGCTTTTAAATATCAGTAATTTATGACTTTAATGATGCATCCTTGGGACCAAAGACGCAAGACATAGAATAAAATCAGATGCCATTTAAATTTGTGTCCCATCTGAACACTTTTCATAAGAAGACGTACAAATGGCCAACAGGTTCATGAGAAAATGCTCAGCATCACTCATTATTAGGAAAATGTAAATTAAAACCATGAGAATACCTTTTATTTAAAAAAATGAAAGACAACAAGTATTGGCAAGAGTGCAGAGAAAAGGGGACAAATATTTGTATGCTGTTGGCGGAAATGTTAATGCAGTCATTATGGAAAACAAGAGGGAGGTTCCTAAAAAAACTAAAATTAAACTAGCATATGATCCAGCAATTTTACTACTGAGAATATATCCAATGAAATTTAAATCAATATGTCAAAAGAATATCTGTACCCCGTGTTCACTGTAATTTATTGACAATAGCCAAGATATGGAATCATATCTTCATGTCTTCAACCTACACATCCATCAATGGACCAATGAATAAAGCAATGTGTGTGTGTGTGTGTGTGTGTGTGTGTGTGTACTCAGAATAGCACACTATTCTTCCTTAAAAAGGAATAAAAGTCTGTCATTTGGAACAACATGAATAAAGGACATTATGCTAAGTAAAAAAGCCAGACAGAAAAACAAACACCACATGATCTCATTTATATGTGGAATCTCAAAAAACTAAATTCAGAGAAGTAGATAGCAAAATGATGGCTACCAAGGTTGGGAAGCGGGAGGGAGAGAGGAGGAAGTTATTGGTTTGGAGACCACAAAGTTTCAGATTTCAGGAGGAATAAGCTTTGGGATCTACTGCAGAGCAGGGTGACTAGTCAATAACAATGCATTGTATCTTTCAAAATAACTAAGAAGTAGTTAATGATAATCTACTATGTTTCAAAATAACTAAAAGTAAATTTTAAATGTCTTACCACAAAAATGTAAGGTGATAAGATTTGTTAATCAGCTTGATTTAATCACTTCACATTGCATACATACACCATAGTCTCAAAGTGTACTCCATAAATGTAATGTAAGTATTATTTGTCAATTAAAAATAATGTAACAAATTTTTTAAAAAATAATTAATTGGTATCCAGATGGACAGGAAGGATGTTTAAAGACCACACATGCCAATTGAGCAACAAGGATAAAGGGGGGAAAATAAGAACTGCATAAGGGTGCAGGGCACCCAATGGAATGGCATGAAGGAAGGTGTCCTTAGAGCCAAACAGGGAGCTGGAGCAGTGATAAGAAAGGGAACTCCCTAGAACAGGTAAGACTGTGGTCAGATTCAGAATGGTCTAGTATTGTAAAGGTGATGCTCAAATCACTTGAAACTCTAGAATAAGGGTTAAAAGACAAATAGCTACAGTCATTTGTTAATGAATATTACAATATGAAAAGATACAATAGTAACTTGGAAACATGAGTGGGAGTGGTAAAATGGAAGAGAGGTGTGATTGAAGTTGTTATCAGTTCAAAACAGGCTGTTATAACTAAAATGTTTCATGTTAATCTCATGGTAACAACCAAGCAAAAACCTATAGTAGATAAACAAAAAAAAAATGAGAGAAAGGAATCATCGGAGCACAAAAGAAGACAGCCAGAGAGCAAAAAAGGAACAATGGTCTACAAAAAGCCAAAAAATAATTAACAGAATGGCAACCATAGGTTCTTAACCTACCAAGAATTACTTTAAATGTAAATGGATTAAAATCTCCAATAAAAAGACACAGAGTGACTATGCTCTATGATCCAACTATATGTTGATAACAAGAAACTCATTTCACCTTTAGAAACACCAAGAGATTGAAACTGACAGGAAGAAAAAGTTGTGCCACCTGTGTGAAAAAAAAAAGATGAGGTAGTAATACTTATATCAAACAAAGTAGTTTTAAGTAATAAACTATATAAAGAGACTAGGTCACTACATAAAGGTATCAATTCATCAAGAGGATATAACAATTATAAGTATATATGAACTCAACACTGGAGTACCTAAATATAAAAAGCAAATATTAACATACAAAAAGGGAGAAATTGATGGCAATACAAGAATAAATAGAAGGGCACTTCAGGACCGTACTCCCAACAATGGGTAGATCATTCACCCAGAAAATCAATAATGAAGCCACTGGACTTGAACTACACTTTAGATCAAACAGACCTAATACATAAAGAACATTCCATCCCACAACCAAAGAATATAAATTTTGCTTAAGCACACATGGAATATTATCCAGGATAGACCACATGTTAAACTACAAAACAAATTTAAGAAGCTTGAAATCATATCAGTGTCTTTTCTGACCACAATGGTAGCAAACTAGAAATCAATAATAGGAGAAACTAGAAAAATTAAAAAATTGTAGAAATTAAATGACACACTCCTGAACAACCAAAGAAACCCAAAAGGGAATCAAAATTATCTTGAAACAAATGAAAATGAAAATACAATGTACAAAAACATGATGCTGCAAAAGCAATTCTAAGAGGAAAGTTTATTGATGTGAAGTCCTACACAAAGACCTCAAATAAACACCCTAAGCTTTACATCTCAAGGAACTAGAAAAAAAGAACAAACTATACCCAAAGTTAGTAAAAGGAATAACAAAGATGAGAACAGAAATGAACGAAACACAACACACACACACACACACACACACAATAGAAAAGATCAATGAAACTAAGACTTTGTTTTTTGAAAAGAAACAGAACCGACAAGCTTTAGCTAGACTAAGAAAACACAAGACTCAAATAAATAAAATCAGAAATGAAAGAGGAGACACATACCACTGAAATATAAAGAGATCTCTAAGAACAATTATTTGAAAGTTGAATAACTGAAAAGAAATGGACAAATTCCTAAAAACATAAAACCCACTAAGATGGAATCATGAAAACTCAGAATATCTGAACAGACCAATAACCTGTAAGAAGACTGAATCAGTAATTCAAAATGTACCATCAAAGCAAAGCCCAGGATCTGATGGCTTTATTGATGAATTCTATCAAACATTTAGGAGGAATTCTTCTTAAATTCTTCCAAAAACTGAAGAGGAGGGAATAGTTCCATACTTCATTTTATGAGGTTAGAATAATCCTGATACCAAATTCAAATAAATACATTACTATAAAAATACAGGTGAATATCCCTGGTGAATATAGATAAAAAAATTCTTAACAAAATACTAGCAAACCAAATTCAACAGCACATTAACAGGTGCTCACCCATAATGAAGTGGGGTTTATCCCTGGATATGATAAATACAAGTGACACCACATTATTACCCCAATAGATCCAGAAAAGATTTGATAAAACTCAATATCCTTTCATTATAAAAACTCAATAGATTAAGTGTAGAAGGAATATGTATTAACACAATAAAGCCTACACATGAAAAGCAAAATCATATTCAGATGTGAAAAGTTGAGAGCTTTTCCTCTAAAGTCGAGCACAAGACAGGTGCTCACCCTTGCCACTTTTATTCAATATAGTACTAAAAATAACAACCAAAGCAATGAGGCAAGAAGAATAAAAGGCAATGAATGAAAACTAAAAGGAAATGAAATCAGGATCTCAAAGAGCTATCTGACCTCCCATGTCCACTGCAGTATTTTTCACAATAACCAAGACATGGAAACCACCTAAGTGTCCATCAAGAGATGAAGAGATAAAGAAAATGTAGTGCACACACACAGGAATATTATTTAAAAATTTAGCATCTGTGACTATACAGATGAATCCAGGGGACATTATTTTAAGTGAAATAAGCCAGACACAGAAAAATAAATATTGCATGATCTCATTTATGTGTGGAACCTGAAAAAGTTGAACTAACAGAAACAGCAGGAGGGGAGTTACCAAGGGTTAGGTGGTAGGGGAAAGGGAATCATGTTGTTCAAAAGGTTGAAACATTCAGTTATAAAATGAATAAGTTCTGGAGACTACAGGTACAACATGGTGAGTACAGTTAATAATGATCTACTGTGCAGTTGAAGTTTTCCCAGAGAATAGATCTTGCATATTCTTGTCACACACAGAAGGGTAGCTGTATGAGGTGATGAAGATACACCAGCAATCATCTCACAAAATACATGTATATCAAAACATTATGTTGTACACCTTAAATGTGTACACTTTGTTAATTGCAGCTTAATAAAGATGAGAAAATAGAAAAACAGAAATAAAAACAAATCTAACATTATGCTTACCGATGCATTGCTAAATGCCCAAGGGAATTTAGCTAAGTCACAAATGGTTCTGATTATTTCATAGAGATTAGTCTACTCACTTGAGTTAATAAGACAAAAATCAAATTTCACTTTCATACAACAGGATAATTTGCAAGAAAAAACTAGGATTTTGTATTAGTAATTTTAATTCATTCTATATTAATTCTTTTGGGGGGGCATACCAGGGATTAAACCCAGGAACACTCGACCACTGAGCCACATCCCCAGCCCTATTTTGTATTTTATTTAGAGACAGGGTCTCACTGAGTTACTTAGCACCTTGCTTTCACTAAGGCTACCTTTAAACTCTCGATCCTCCTGCCTCAGCCTCCCAAGCCACTGGGATGATAGGCGTGCACCACCATGCCCGACTTAAATATTAGTTCTCAAAACTCAATAGCTATAAATAGTCTTCTATGAACAAAGCCACCTAAAAAAAATCACACATCACCCTGAAACTTTTATATTTTCAATAACTTAAAACATTTATGTAATATTTTAGATTTCCCAAAAGATAAAAACCGGAACTCCTTGTGGGAAAAAAAAATTGGAAACCAGAATTACATCTACCTGAATATCAAGCGACATAAGGTAAGAAAGCAATGTCACCATACCTCCCCAGGTGTCGATGTAGATTTTTTTCCACCACACATAGAGGAAAAGAAGAGCAGACAGGAAGAACTGGGAGGTGGTGTTGGCCCAAGCAGATCCTCTGAAGGAGAAAAAGCCATCATTACCACTGAGTGTATCTTTCCAAGTATACACCACCAGGTGGCCCCTGACCAGTTTTGTTCTCTGGTGACAGTTACTAGATAAGCCTGGAGTTCTTGGGCTATCTTCTTTGGATGTTTTAAACACTAAATTCATTTATGATAGACTCGTTTTCTTTGCAGCAAGATTTGAGTTTTGTGGAATGACCCAATGTTACTAGCCATCAATTGGAAAATAAAAGGAGATAAAGACTTACCGCCATTCCTTGTGGTAACAGCCTTGATTTAAAAAACTGTCATATAATTTCTAAGATATAAGTAATCAGAAAGGATATATCAACCAGCGACTGTGTTCAAAACACTGATCCAGGTCATAGAATTTTATTTCCCAGGATAATAAGCTTGTTTTCCCATTAGAAGCCAACCTTGGGGCATCTTCAATAGGTGACATTTTATCACCGACTGTGATAAATAAAAATGCCCTGTGCTAGCACAGGAACTCTGCCGCCTTGTCTATTTTTGAATTTCATTCAAAGTGTCACCTTTAATCATTGTTAACCTATTCCTATATTTCTTCTTCCCTTTCCCAATCCTCAAACTGCATTGACTATGTCTCTTTCGGAACTCCTAGGAGACAGTCTCTGAGGTTCACCTCATAGGAGAAGCTGTCTGGGTGGCCAATCCACTGTCCTCACGCTTGCCTGCTGGACTCCGACTCCCCCACAGTCAATGCCTCATTCAGCTTTTGAGCATAAGGAAGTTATCACATATGGGTTTTCACTACTGTGTTCTTGTGTTCCAGTCCTCTGCTATTCTTTAACTGATAGCTTTTAGCAGTAATAAGTAGTTCCCATCGCTGTTCAGTACCCACATTATTAGCATCTGTGCACTCACCTACCCATACAGAACTGAAAAGAGTCTCATAAAAAACACCCCCATAGTAGTTGATGCACTTCATACTTTCTAGTCTATTGCACTTTATTCTGTTTAATTCTTAATATTTCCCTTTTTAAAAAGTACTGGCCATGATCCACTAAAATCATTTTTCTTTATAAAGGAACACACTACCCTGAAGTACCTCAAAAATATTGGGGCTTGGTCTGCACATGGTGGCATGACCACTCAATAGACACAAGTGCCAAGGCTGATTCTGGGCTAGAGGTGGGCCACCAGGATGCCTACCAAGGGAAGCTCAAACTGACCACCTTTTTCTTTGTGGAGCCCTCATTTCCTCAAGCTTGGTAAGATGGAATTCGGCTCAATCTCTTAACACTCAGAAATACTGAGAGAATCCCTGTAGGCACCTGTCTCCCTCTGCCTCAGCCTTTAAAGTAGCAACTCCCTCCAAGCTAACACGATTTCCACACACAGGTATCAGTTTACACATCTATTCCTCCAAGACCCCTCCCTATCTCTCCACCTAAATAATCTCTACCACTCCCCCTTCCAACTTCCAGAGCTGACTGCTCCTCCTTGGGGATCTCACATAGCAAGCTCTTACCTGTCATACAGGTATGAACAATGACCACTAGGTGCTTGCTTACCTGACCATATTCCCTCTAATGACTGCTTCACTCCCTGTATCTCCAGCCCCTAGGAGGGGAGCCAGCACACAGTCTTTGCTGAATGAATAAGTTGCAACTTACACCACTCCAAGGTCCAGGGCATACATCAGGAGGGCATTCATGCCCACGTTGACAATATTCGCTGCAATCCCAGTAATAACTTGGGGCATGATGATGCCCTGAAATCCCCAAACAGAAAATCATTTTTTTCAAAAGCTAGTTAGCGAGGCTGTTAAGTAAACAATCAGAGTTAAACAGGTGCCAATTTTAAATGATGGTAAAGTCACACAAGACTGGAATGGCCAGAGGCAGAAACAAGCAGAAGTGTCTCCTCTATTAGTGCAGCTTCTGGCCAAGCCAATGGAAGTTTTTAAATGCTTCTAAAAGCCCTGGTAGGTCAGTTTTCATATCAGAGGCAGAGAGAGAAAAGAGGGAATATTCACACAAGAGCAAACAGGCCCCCGCAAGACATGTAAAAGAGAGAGCATCTGGGAGACGCTGGGGCCAAGCTGCTGGACTGCTCCCCAGGCGAGTATTAAGTTCTCAGGTGCAAAGCACCCAGCAATGCCTGCTGCATAGCAGGTGTGCAGAAAATGTTCATCCCTTTGTTTTATGGTGCCAGTTGCTCATTTCTTTGTTTACTCCATGCTAGTACTCAGATAAGCATTTTCTTTAGGTAAAACTTCCTTAAATCCCTACTACCTCTGTATTTAAACAGAGTAGACTGCTATCAAAGCAGCAAGGATTCTGGCTTCAGACAATTTTGCCTCTATGTTTATTTATTTATTTTTGTGTGGTGCTGGGGATTGAAAGTACGGTCATATACATGCTAGGCAACAGCTCTACCACTGAGCCACCTCCCACTCCTGCCAGACCTTGACTTTATGATTAATGGCAAGCAGGTTGCTTGCCTATGGATAGACTTGGAGGAGACAATGAGGGGGAACTCAGCCTCTGTCCCTACCCACCCACCTCCCACCCTTGGCCTTCTGTTTTGCTCCCCTCTTCTGTCTCTGGTGTACCCAAAGCATGGTGGACTCCATGTACTCTCAGGAAGGCAGCCATAATAAATCCAGGTCCTCACCCTCTAACTCAGAAGCTTAGGGCCAGATCCCACACCAGATGCAAAGCCAGCACCAGCCCCTAGAAGAGTGGGTGGCTGTGGGAGCTACAGAAAGAAATAAGAAATGACCCAGAGGAACTAGACAGATTGACATAGGTATCTCTCTTGGGCTAGATGATACAAGGACCCACATCTCTCTGATAGAAAACTCCAGGAGATATGGAAAACAATATAGGAAAAATATGAATTACTTTTATTGAAGATATTTAATATACATTTCCAGTACTATAGAGTGAAAATATGAGAAGAATCAATACCTGACTTTGTAAATATCTTGTCTGCAGTTGGAACAGGAATGCTGCCTACAAGATTAAATAAAAAACAAATACAATCACTATTCAGTACCCACATTATTTACTTCATTTATTGTTTTTGCAGTGCTAGGGATTAAAGCCAGGGCCTCATGTATGCTTGGCTCTACCACTGAGCCGTATCCCCAGTTCCAGATTTGGTTTCTAATAAGATATTTCCTCCTGATTATGTGATCTCAAACTCAGAAAATTAGAACTACTCTAATTAAATGCTAGGACACCCAATGCTATTTAGAATTTTCCAGAGTAGATGAAAGTTTACTTCCTAAAGAGCAGGAACGTAAATTGTAACTGGCTGAAGAAGAAGCTACAACCTTGACATTCTGCGTGGCTCCCCAGGGAGCTCAGGAAACATTCTTGAATAATATGAGATCAAAAGTAACCATGGAATAAGGAATCAAGGAGGAATTTTTTTTTTCCTTCAGTTCTTGATTTAAACCTAAACTGTTGGACATTAGAGTGGCACAAGTTCTGAGAATCAGCAAGGTAGGGAAGGCAGGCCCAAGAAATAAATGTTGAACTTCTGTGTTAACAGTTCTTTGATAAATAAACAAGAGGTGGAGGAGGAAGAGGCACGTGCAGGGTGACACCCATGAGTTGCTTCAAATCAAACACAACAGCATTGAAACTTACAGGAAGAGCAGGAATGAAAATCATCACATAAATTTGGGCTATCCTGGAATAAACAACCAAAGAGTCTTCTGTTAATATTAATAATATTAATAATTAATATTAATTAATAATGATTTCTGGTCATACTGTCTTCAAATTGAATCCACAGAGTATTTTCTAAAATTTAAAACTAAAAATAATTTATATGGGAGAAATTTAATCACAACTTGGATTAGTTTTCTGCAACCTACACCAATAATAGTGCTTGAGGCCTGTTAGAAGTCTACTTTCTCAGGGGAAGCCTGAAAACTTGACAGTTTCCAGCTCCTTCTCAGCCATAAGGGAGTACTGAACAGATCAAAATGAACTCAAACTTGAGCACAATTCAGAAGCCTTCTGAAAGCATCAAGACCACCTCACAATGAGCGAGAATCCTCTAGAAAGGATGACACAATCCAGGACAACACCAGAGGCCATGCTGGAATTTATGTTAAATTGTATGTTTAAAAAAACCCAACTCCAAATATGAAAATGAAGACAACCATGTGGTATTCTACTTTTGTCAGGGGAAACATATTCTGTGCATTTGCAGGACACCAAAATAGAGGGACAACATAAAGGGAAATGGAGCCAGGGGCATGGCACCCTTATGCTGCTTCTTATCTCTGGGTCAGGCAGTCCCTGCACCCTGGGACTCTAGGGTCCACAGTCACAGCTTCCAATCCCAAAGGGTTCAAGTCCATCTAATGGACTAAAAATACCAACACAGGTACAATGGCCAATGGACACTTTTTTCTTGTTTTGCCTTGCACATGATGAGTGGGCATTCTACCTGAGTTACACCCCCAGCCTAGACAGCCACTAACTCTTAACCTAGGATTCTGAAATGGAGATACTGCTGACCTGGCCACTTCAGGGTCTTGTTTCAGGAGCAGGAGGAGGTTCTCGGTATTGATGAAGATGGCCCAGCAAGGGAAGCAACACAGCAGCAAGATGAGGATTCCTCTTTGAAGTATGATCCCAACACGTTTTAGGTTCTTGCCTCCAAAGGACTTGGAGAAAACAGAAAGAGTGCCACCGAATGCCACCGGCCAAGGCCATACTTCCAGTGGCCCCCTCAGCCCAGCAGTGTAGGCAAAGCTTCCGAGCACAGCCAGTCAGTGAGCTAGATGGCCTCTGTGGCCTTCTATACCTCATGGGACAACTGGTCCCTGCTCCCAGGTACTGAGACTATTACCCGCCTTATAAAATCCACTATTCTGATATGGCCTGGTGAGAGCTCTTACTCTCTATTTTGCAGGAGATTGTGGTCCCCACTCACAAACAGCAAATAAAGGCCACTTAGGTCACAAACTAAATTTGTTGTAATTTTGTCTTTTGACATATTGAAGCCAAGTGTGCCATATTTACCATCATTAGCAGCATTGCATTTGACACATAAAGGGCCACAAACCATAGATGGATAGTTCTCCCCAGGCAGTCTCTATTAGAAAAGGTAATTAATTGCCAAAAAAATTCTGTGGGCAAGGGGGTCCTCACCTGAGACATCAATGTGTCACAAGCAGAGGCCAAGCCAGTTCCAACCGAAATCCCTGTAACATTCACAACCTGCAAGACACAACAGGACAGTTGCAGCAGTGTCACCACCAAACAGCTCCCTTTACACCAAGGAACCACAGTGGGCTCAATTTTAGACAACAATTCATAGTTGTATACTTAAGGTTCTGCATTTCAGATCAAACGGATGTACACATGGGTCCCTGTCAACTAAACAAAAATGGAACTTCTAACCAAAGGACTATGATCACCCTGCATTGATTTGGAAAATCTAAAACCTAGAAAATGGGCTGGGACTGTGGCTCAGTGGTAGAGCACTTGCCTAGCATGTGTGAGGCACTGGGTATAATTCTCAGCACTGCATATAAACAAATAAATAAATAAAGGGTTTTTTAAAAAAATAAATAAATAAAACCTAGAAAATAAGTTTTTTTTTATGCAGCACATTACCATTTCCATATTGAAAAGTTGTTAGTGCAGTAATTAAAATAAAAATCATAGAAGGGAGATCAGTAGAATAGAGCAAGTGGATGGGGAAGGGAAAAAAGAGAGGGAAAGGGAAGGTACTAGGAAGCAGATTGAGCAAATTATATTATGCTCGTGAGCAAATATGGCATAGTGAATTCCACTCTTACATATAATCATAATGCACAAATAAAAATTTATGAAGTAAAAATAAAATAAAAGTTGTGGTTAGTGTCTAAAGGCCATGCCCATGATCTGCCAGTAAGATGTACATTTCAATATAAAAAAACAGGCCTGCCTGAGGGTGTGGCTCAGTGGCAGAGTGCTGGCCTTATATGTATGTGCAAGGCCCTAGGTTCCATTCCCAGCACCACATGCACACACAAAAATAATAAAATAATAAAAATAACAATAGCAAACATTTCGGAACATGGGCCATGTGCCAAGCAGTCCTAAACCCTTCGCATATATGATGCTATGATCACTTTTCCTAATTTTTGGATAAGCTGAGTTACAAAGTTTCTGATACTTGCTTACTCAGATGGTGTGACCTGGAGCTGGGAAGTCTGACTCAAACTCCAGGCTTTAGTCCTCCAGTGAGAAACAGGACTTTACCCAGTCCCCCCACAACCCAGTGCACAGAGAGTAACCCACAGATGAGGGGAGGAGCTTAGGTGTGTGGTACTTTAGATAGGGCAAAGAGGAGGGAGGGGAAAAGAAGGGGACGGGAGTAGGAAAGATGGTGGAATGAGATGGACATCATTACCCCAAGTACATGTATGGAGACACAAATGGTGTGACTCTACTTTGTGTACAACCAGAGACAAGAAAAATTGTGCTCTATGTGTGTAGTAAGAATTGAAATGCACTCTGCTGTTATGTATAACAAATTAGAATAAATAAATAATTTTTTTAAAAGAAGTAAACAAAGAAATGTGTGTGTGTGGGGGGGGGGGGGGATGAAGTGAAAAAGTTGGGCCCTTTTTTTTTTTTTTTTTTTGGTACCAGGGATTGAGCCCAGAGGTGGCGAATAATCACTGAGCCACATCCCCAACCCTTTTTTTAATCTTTTTATTTTGAAACAGGGCCTCACTAAGTTGCTTAGGGCCTCACCAAGTTGCTGAGGCTGGCTGTGAACTTGCAATCCACCTGCCTCAGTCTCCCAAGTCACTGGGATTACAGGTGTGTGTCACTATGCCCAGCTTTGGCTTCCTGACATACCACGTGAACTCTCCTTCTCACAGTGCTTTGACCATGAAGTCATAGACTTTATTGGGTTGTAGCCAGAAGGGCCCCACTGGAGCCAAGCAGAAGTCAGTGAATGTTCTTGAATTTCCAGCATGGTGATCTAAATAAACCTCTTTTCTTTCTAAAATTCCCAGCCTTCGGTATTTTGTTATAGCAAAAGAAAACAGACTGAAACACTAACCCCAGGAGGCCAGTAACAGGCCATACACATGGAATACCCAGTGCTTACCCGACAAGGCAAGAGCCAGGATCCAAATGAGATCCAGAGGGCTTATGACACAATGAAGACTTGGATGTGAGGCATCGATGCCACAATGCTGAATTCCTCTAAAGCCACTTCAGCCTTCCGTAAAAGGAAAAGGTGAAGTGTGCTAATTTCTGAAAAGGTTGTGGAGTTTTTTCCTTCGGTTTAGTTTTAGTTTTTGGTAAGCAGGCAAACTTTGTTGGCTTAGGATAATATTCTTCTTTCACGGCTCATGGCTCATCCCTGGTCAAGTCAGCTGGCCATAGAACTACAGTCAGAACCCCTTTGCTTCATTTGTTACCAGCTTTTACTATTTTAAACTATTATTATGCCTCTTCCCTATCATGCACAACTTTAAAACAAAAGATGGGACAAAAATTGCTACAGTGTCTCTCATGGCAAGTTGTCTAGGACACAAATGTAGTGGCAATGTATTAGAATCTATAAGAGAAATAAATGCCTCTATGCCTCAGTCTCCAGAGAAACCCTCCTTCCCTTGAATAAATGGTCCAGGTCATACCATCTGAGTAAGCAAGTATCAGAAACTTTGTAACTCAGCTTATCCAAAAGTGATCATAGCAAATAAAATATTTGCTTCACTGAGCATCACATAAGCAAGGAGCTGAGAGTAGACCTGCAGCCGGTCTGGGGCTGCCCTTGCCCCCGGCTCCAGTCTCCCTCCATCCATGTTCCTTCACTCCACTGCTACCAGCTATTTATTTATCTTTCCATAGTGAATGTATTTATGTCAATCAGCTCAAAGTCTTTGTGGAACACGTTGGAACACAAACAAATGTTCTTTCACTTAAAAGAATTTACTGATGTAAATACTTTTGTACTACAAAAGTTTGACCTTATTTTTGACCTTATTGTTCATAAGGTCATTTTTTTTTCCTTTTGTGGTGCTGATAATTGAACCCAGGGCCTTATACATACTAGGCAAACCCTCTACCACTGAGCCACACTCCCAGCCCCAGCCAATTTTTAAAAAAATGTATCTGGTTTTCATAAATAAAGTCATTGTATACTGTCTTCCCAGAAGTTAGTTACAATTTAATAACTGATTAAAAGCAAAGAATCCCCACCCAGTTGTCAAGAGCTGACAGCAGAGCTCCCTCCCAATCTACCACCTTATCTGCAAAAATTCCTGTCTGTGGAACATACCAACCTTCCCACGGGTTGTCAGCCATCTTCAGACCTTTCTCTAAAATTGTAGATCTGTATTTAGTCTATTTTTTTTTTATTTTTACATCAAAAACTAGGAAATCTTTTCTATCTCCTTTATCATTGGGTAGGATTTGGGGTTACACAGAAAGAGAGAAGAAAAATTTCACCAAATACATACAACATTTTAGTTTAGTGTTTTCCCCCATGTACATTTTAAAATCATTTTAATAAGACAAATGAAAGAACAGGAATCATAGAATTCTATATAAATATACAATAATGCTTTAAATCCTCACCTTTTATGGAAATCATAAAAGGATGGGATTGAAGGTGAGAAGAAAAGACAAAGCAGGAGATGCCCAGATAAGAGTAATTCTCAGGGCAGGACACCTGAGCTATGTGTTTCTCTGAAATATTTGGTTGAACCAAATCTGTATGAGGAACCAAGCTGAGCAAAAATGAATGTAAGTTCTCAGATGGATCAGCAAGAGAGAGACTTAGAGACAGAGACAGTCAGCACAGTGCATCCAGGGCCAAGACCCAGAAACCACAGAATATGGGAACATGAGAGAGGGTCTCTAGTCTTGGGAGGTCAGCCCAGAGTCTGGCAGATGGAGGGGAGTAGGAAGGACGGAGAAGGGTCCAGAAGAGGGGAATGTAAAACAGAAGGAAGACAGGAATTCTAAGGAGTGATGGAAATAAAGTTAGGAGGGCTCTCTTCTAATGCAAGTTGTGGGTATTAAAAAAATAAAAGAGGGGTGATGGCGGTGTAGGGGGTGCAGTTCAGTGGTGGAGCATTTGCATAGCATGTGTGAGGTCCTGAGTTCCATCCCAGGACCACAAAAAAAATTTTTTTTAAATAAGAAAGGCAGTACTTAGCAACTCCAGGGAGTAGATTCAAACTCTCTGTGTTCCAAAAGTCCCTGTGTCTTCCAGTTGATCCATCCTGCAAGCAGTGCTGTGCTGGAAGCCCAAGTCAAGGGTGGAGGTACCAATTTGGGAGACACCAATAAACAGGGGGCATTGAAAAAGGAAGGGAGAGGGGAGAGGAGAGGAAGTATAGTGCAACTATCAGAGAGGCCACAGGTGAGCCAAGGTGGACCAGGATGAAATACAGATGGCAGGTTCCTGGGGGGCTAGGGGAGAAGAGTACAAGGTGAGTCCTCTGTCCTGACAAAGGGGTGGGAGGAGTCCCTGACAACTGTCAGAGCAAGTTAAATGGAGAAGTGGGAGAACAGAGGCTGGACTGTAATGGGAAAGAAGGAAATGAAGACAGAGTGTCAGCTTTCTGGCAAAGAACATAGGTAATAAAGGTCAGAGAGCAGGCTGGGCCAGAGGAAGATGGATGGACAGGGATGTATTTATTGAAAAAAAGAGGATCTTGATAGGTTTATCCTAATGGGGTGGTAATATATAAAGCTTAAGAGGTTGGAGGAGAAAGGAAGGTTCCAGAACACAATGAAAGGTGGGTCTTGAAGGGGAGGGGGTGACAAAAAGGTGTGGGGGGTTGTGAAATGGGAGGTTGAGAGGTCAAGTGCTGCCTGTTTGGCAAAGTGTGCAGGGCAGGGGGCCAGGTGAAACCAGAGGAATGAGAGAAGATGAAGGGACCCTGGCAAGGACAACTTCATGAGGTCAAGGGTAAGTAGGATGGGCATGGAGACTTGGTGGCTACACAGTCCAAGGGCTAAAAAGAGACTGAAAAAGTAAAGTTGAAAGTTCCTACTGTGGTCCACACTGAGGGATGAAAATGTGCAGAAAGGGGCACCCCAAGATGACTCGGAGGTCCTGGAGACAGTGAAATTGATGCAGGGAGGTCAAGGCACACTTCCAGCAGAGAGAAGAGAGAGCATTCAGGGGCTGAGATCACTGATGGCCATGAGATATCATGAACAGGGAAAAGTGTAGGATGCACTGCCCAGAAATGAGCTCTGGAGGAGGTACAGGTTGGGAAGCAGAGACAGGAAAAAAGCAGACCTCAATCCTGGCCTCCGATCATCACCCCATTAATACACATTCACATCCCATGGGTGACCAGGAGCACAGAGCGGGCCAGGGCTCTGATGCCCTGTGCCATGCAGGGGCCAAGCTCATCTTTCCTGAAGAGGACACAGGGACATATATAAAAACCCATCTTCCTTCTTGACTTTCTGAAGGGCCAATCTAAACATTCAAAGAAATCAGAAATGTTCGCACAACAGATCAGTTCACCAAATACAGTAAAAAATCCCGTAAATAAAATGTGATTCCACGTAGCCAGGGTTCCTCCAGTGAGACTGAATGAGAAACGTCTATCACCCTCCACAATCTCACTGTGCATTCATTCCCATCTCCTAGGGAGGACCGAAGGGGGGAAAAAAAGGAAGGATGGGTATTCACCTTCTTTGAAAACCTGGATTAAATACAAGAGAAGCAGTTTTCCACTCTCACTAACAGACCCAGGAAGACATCTAAAGAGGTGTAATTTCAAGCCAGGGAGGAAGGGACACGTTTCCCAGGGGTGAGACGGTGTGATCCAATGAACTGTGAAAATAGCTTTGGTTTGATTTCATAAATTAAAAAAAAAAAAAAAAAAGAATTCGGTTCTTTTCATTTTAGTAGATATGCCCAATTTATCTACTTGTTACATTCCTCACAAGACCTGGTGCCTCTATAATTAGAGATCTGCTCAGAAAGCTTTGTCTAGGTAGCTGACACGATCTACTTCAAATCTATAGATCAGGTAACAGTATCTGTAAGCAAGACCCAGATCCTCTAAAAAAGACACGGAGGACATGACACAATTTAAATTCTGAAGCTTGGTGCTGGGGCTGGGGCTGGGGTGGGGGGGCAGCGGGGAGGGTAGAAGCTCCGCGGGAGAGCATCGGCCCAGTATGCACAACCCCCGCACCACCAAAAAAATTTTAAAAAAATAAATAAAACAAAACAAATAAATAAAAATGCTGAGACTTTGCTGCTATCAGCTAAAAAAAAAAAAAAAAGATGTAAACACCCACCGAGACAGCAAGTGTAACAGCATCCAGCTCGACTTTGCCCAGATGTCCGCAGAATATGGAACTGACGATGCTAATGAGAAAGATCATCAACTGTGCAAGGAACTGCCCGGGGAACAGAAAGGAAAGTGGAGTTTTACACCCACCCTCCCTCCCCGGGCTTCGCGCAGCCAGGTGGGAACGCTCTGGACCGCGCTAAAGTAGCCCCAAGGAGCGCCCAAGCCTCGCGACTGCGACTGCGGCTGCGGCGGCCGTCGGGCGGGCGCAGCGGGGGGCCGCCGCACTCACCACGGGGCCCGCGAGCGCCGCCAGCTCCGCCGCCTCCCGCCGCAGGTCCGAGGGCAACGCGCCCCGCAAGCCCCGTAGGCAGCCGCGCCGCCAGAGGACGCCGGGCGGTTGGAGGGCTTGGTCCGCGGGGGACTCGGTGGCGGCAGCGGGGACCTCCATGCCGGCTCTGGATGGGGCTCCAAGCCGGCTCACGGAATGCGAGCGCGCGAGGCCGAGGCTGCCCGGCCCTACACCTACACCGCCCGGCACGGCCCTTCCCTTCCCTGCTCCGCCCCGCCCCGCCCAGCCCAGCCGGCCGATGGTCCACTGCCGCGGAGACCAGCAACCAACCCCCCACCACGCCCAGTGCGCCCAGTCCAACCGTCATCACCCAGAACCCCGGGGTGGAGGGAGGGGGTGCTTGCCCAGGAGGGCAGCTCTAGGATGATGAGTTTCTATAAGGCGTCAAGACAGATTGCAAAAGGTGTGTGGAGGGAGAGTGGACTTTGTAATTCCCTCATCCTCCACACCCACAGAACACTTTCGGGGGACACCTTTCTCCAGGCCGCAGCTGAAGGGATGTTCAGGCATTCCCCCATCCTCATCCACCTCCACCCTACTGTTCCCCAGTGTCTTGGCTCTGCAGGGGCAAGGTACTGAACCTGCGGCCAGTGTGGCTTCTAGTCAGTGTAGCCATGGCACCTGCAGCTAGAGGAACCTGTTATGGGGCCAAGGAAAAGGGCAGGGGTGTGAGACACCTCTAGAGCTCCAGGGGTATCAGGTTGGGGAGCACAAGGAGAGAGTTGAGGGCTTTCTAATAAAGAGCTGGGGGAGGGTCGGCCCTGTGGATGCCTCAGGCCCCCCAGGCTCCACCTGGAAGGCCACATACACTGCACATCTTCTTCACCTTGATGGCTGGAGAACGAGGATCAATTTAGGGACCCAGGAAGAATGAAGTCCTGAAGGCAGAGATCCCTTTTGATAATTCCAACCAAAGCAGGCAAGTTGGAGGGCTGGGGGTGTAGCCATGTGGTAGAGCACATGCAAGTGCAAGATCCTGGGTTCATCCCCAGCAATGCAAAGTGGGGAAAAAAAAATCAGCAGCTGGGTGGTTTTTATTAACAGTAGCGAACTTTTCTGATTTTGTTCATTATCTGTTCTTTCAGGGCACAGGCCAAGCCTAGTCATGTATCCATTCAAGCACTGTCCTTACTTAGTATGTAGAGGTTTGCTGAATTAGCAGTGTGTACTTAACACTGTGAAGGCTGTAAGAAGTAGGGTTACTACTTAATCTAAGGCCTTTATTAAAACTTTGTCCTCTGACACCACCACCACTAGGAATTATAATTAACAGCTCTAAAGACTTGCCTCAATTATGCACCCAACAGTGCCTGAGATCTGGGCCCCCAACTGAAGATTAACAATTTGCCATCTGCCATTGAATAATAATCTAAGACACAAAGAAAGATGTACTGTAATTTTTAAATAATTCACACAGTAAGAATCCTAAAGCACTTTTTATATGGAGTTGTATCTTAGAAAACAGTGGGCAGAAGAAATATGGAAGCCTCAGGTGAATATGGTACACCGTGGTCCTTAGTTAAGACAGTGAATTTTTCTCAAGCATCATCTTTCAGACATCGTCTTGAACCAAAATAAACCGTTTATCTTCTTAGTCTCTCTGCTTCATTAGAAAAATATATCTTTGAATTCTCCATTCTTAAAATCCACAAACACAATTAAATTACATGATTTGAAAATGAACTGCCGCTGCTAAGCCTATGAATTATTTGTATGTAAGCTCAAAAGTACAGGTAGTCCCTGACTTAACACTGGTTCCATTTATGATGCTTCAAAAATGATACACATTCAGTAGAAACTGTACTTTGGAGTTTTTCCCAGGTTAGCGATAAAGCAGTATGATCCTCTCTGAGATGCTGGGCTGTAGCAGCAAGTTGCAGCTCCCACAGCCCCACAATCACGTGCCACCGTGTGCTGTGATACTCACACTGAATGGTAGGATAGGTGGATTCAATGCACTGTCAACTTACATACACGTGGGGTTGGGGATTGAACCTAGACCCTCAAGCTAAGCATGAGTTCTATTACTGAGCTGCAACCCCAGCCCCAGCTTGTGACAGTTTCAATTTACAATGGGTTTGTCAGGAGGCAGCCCCGTTGTAAGTTGAGGAACATCTGTATCCCTTGACCTGACCATCTCTCTCTTGGCACATCACTGAATTCTGACATATACTCTCACTAAAATCCCCAATAGCAAGATTAAAATGACGCCCACGAGCAGGAGTCCTCGCCGTAGAACCAACTGTTGCACAGACAATTTATCATTGTTCTTTGGATGGACAGGTGAAGGTTGTTCTTGGGGCATCTGCTGGTCCAATTGAGTCTCATCTTTTTTTCCAACATCTCTCATTAAAATTTCTCCATGGTTTTCAGGACCCACTGTGGGAGAAAAAGGAACTTAGCTTCAAAGGGATTTTTTTTTTCTTTTTTGTTTGTATAAAAGGTGATGTGTACCTGGGTAATAGCTGGGAGAAAGTTAATTCAGGAAGCAGTTACTACCCAGAATAAATAAAAGAAATCATATTTTAGCTGCTGGGCAAGAATGTTTAGAGGCAAGTTCCTGTGTGTGTGGGCAAGATGGAGGGTATGGAAGCTGCTGCCCCTTTAAATGACTATTAATAGTTCTTCAAGTTGGTGTCTTTTTGTTTGTTTGGGGGAATTTTCAAGGTTCCAACACCCATCTAATAAGCATTTCAAAAAGAGAGCAAAGCAAATGAGGGGGAAATAAACTAAGAGAAAAAATTGAGGCTGTTCACAGAACTAAAGATGGGAATCTTCATATCTAAGGACCTATGAGGTACCAGGGTAAGGACTCACACTTTGACTTACTCTCATGATGCTGCAGAATAAGAATATCCTAAAAACTTCCCAAGAGAAAAGTAAAATCCAATGGCACAAGAGTAAGACTGGTATGCAACTTATCTTTTACTCATTTCTTTATTTTTGCAGTACTGAGGGTTGCATAAAATGTGCTAGGAAGTTGAACCCAAGGCTTTGCACATGTGAAGAAAGTCCTGAGCTGCACCTCCCAGCCCTTTTGTTTTTTTATTTTGAAACAGGGTCTTTCTAACTTGTCTAGGTAGGTCTTGAACTTGTTATCCTCCTGTCTCAGCCCTCTGAATAGCTGGGATTATAGGCCTGTGCCTACATGCCTGGCTGGCATCCAACTTCTTAATAAACGTAAGTAGATAAAGGTTAAATATTCCTTTTCTGAGATGATTAGAACCAGAAGTGTTTCAGATTTCAGATTAGGGATGCTCACCCTGTATTGGAATGTTACATCCCCTCAGAGTTCTGAAAGAAAATAATTTTGAATACAATAATACCAGCTCACATCTACAAAATGCTTACTCTGTGTCGGGTAGTTCTCAGCATTCACTTGACCCTCACAATAATAGTGTAAGTTAAGTACAATTATGATCCCAACTTTATAATTTGAGGAAGATTTCATTGATGGTAGAAAACTCAGACCAACTCTCAAGATAATTATAAAGTCTGGATAAAACAAGAAGATCATCTTGAAGGCATCAGAGAGCTAACAGTGTAATAAAGAGATACCGGGGCAAGATCATGAGGAGGCTGTAAACCCAGAGGCACAAGCCTGGCCTTTGGGGCTGCTTTTGCACTGTGAGTTTTCCATCTGGAACATGTGGCTCAGAGGCTGAGGCAATACAGAGCAACAGTGGGCTGTGGTAAGCCTCTCTGTGCTTGGACTTGAACTCCTCACCAAAGCGCTGCAATTAAGGACAAAACAGAAGTAAGCCAGCCTCACACTGGCTGCCTCTCATGTTCAGGTCAGCTGGGTAGTCCAGAAACCTCAATCTGTCAAAGTGCCCTGGATTGCTTATGAAATCCAGCATCTGACAAAAGCAAAATAAAATCCTATCTGGAACCAGAAAACTTTAACAGTGGCTGCTCCTTTTCAAGTTGCCCTTTGCCCTCTATTTGCCCTTTGCAGGGTCACTTTACTTCCCTATGCCAAGGTACCTAGTATTCTGAATTCTGAAGAGAGACTGTACCTAAATAAGTAAGATGTTACCTGCTCAATAATGTTTATTTAGATTTCCGGAACCCTGAACATCTGGTGACCTTCAAATAACATCAGATTGTATAACACCACTCCTCAGTCTTTAGTTCTGTCCATCAACTAACACAAATATGTACTCTGTCATGAGGTTTAACTTGAAGAAAAGTAATATGTTTGGATAAAGAACTATAGGAACTAACCTCAGTATGTTGAGGTACATTGTGATGTTCCTGCCAGAGACGAAGGAAAAAGAAGACACAGGCCTGGGTGAGAAAGACCCCACTCAGCACAGAACCTTCTTGCCCTGCTCCTCCTTTGCACTCAAGTTCCCCAAGATGAAGCTTTGAAGACAATCACTCTCTCCATCTTCCAGGATGCCAGCCCTTGAATAAAACTGATTTCCTTCCAGTAAACTCTTATCTCCTGAGTATTGGCTTTTGAGTGGTGAGCATCCAGACCTGAGCCCCGGTAACAGTTTTAGACCTCAAATGACTTCCAAAACGATGTCCAAATATAAAGTCTGTGACATAATCAAAGATAAGCAGACACACAGACTAGACAATATGCATGAGAACTGAGGAAAAAGAAGCCAAAAACCAGAACTGATCCCTGGCAGACATTTAGCCATCAGAAAGTCCAAAGGGTTAAATTATAAAGGAGTGTTGGAGCTCAGGACATACCACCCCCAAAACGTGACTGTAGAAGATCAGAATATGCCACCCCACGTTTCAAGCTATTTTAAACTGCAGAAGGGGAGTACCTCTGAAAGGCTATCCTTTAATAAAAGAAGGGAGGATTAGACGAACTCTAGATAGGGCAAAGGGGAGGGAGGGAAGGGAGGAGGTATAGGGGTAGGAAAGACGGTGGAATGAGATGGACACCATTACCCTAAGTAGCTGCATGAGGACACAAATGGTGTGAATATACTTTGTATACAACCAGCGATATGAAAAAATGTGCTCTATATGTATAATATGAACTGTAATGCATTCTTCTGTCATATATAACAAATTAGAATAAAAAAGAAAAGAAACTAGAAAAAAAAAAGAAAACTTACATTAGTAAAAGTGTCTATGTCAGGAAGAGGGCTGCTCCTGAACAACTTTATCATCTGAGAAACTGTCTATATAAGAAGACCATCTTTATTTACCATGCATTTATTCCTCTCACCTTCTCTTGTGTAGCCAACCCGCCCCAGAAGCCTCACACCCCTACCCCTTTCTGTTGTTCAGGAAGCAATATTAACTATACCCATCGGACCCTTCTTTGAGTCTCATTTTGTGGGATTCCCAAGCCTGTGCATGTAATTAAATATATTTTTTTTCTCCTGTTAATCTGCCCTGTGTCAATTCCATTCTTGGCCTAGCTGTAGAACCTAGGTGTGCAGAGGGAAACCACAGTTACCTCCTTTACAGTAACAAAGGACTAAAATGACTACCTGCCTAAGAAACTGGGAATGTAGAAGAATTACAAAGATGGACAGCAGAGTAAAATAGACATTATTATTGCTGTGGGTATATACGTGATTGCATGACCAATGTAATTCTGCAAATACACTCAGAAAAATGAGAAATTGTATCCCATCTGATTCAAATGTATGCTATGTCAAGATCATGTACTGTCATGTGTAACTAATTAAAACAAATTTTAAAAAAGAATTTAAAAAATGGTTAACAGAATATAATAAACCAAAAAAGAGAGAGGGAAAAAAAAAAGAATTACAAAAATGACAGGGAAAAAAATACATTTGTAGAATGTTCATCAGAAGCAATTGTCCAAACAATAACTTACTTAAAGCAGGTGTCTCTAATAGACACTAGAATCCTCACTAAAATAAACACAAATGTCAGTTTCTAAGATATGACCCATGCATAGGATCTCCAAGTATTAGAAATATCTGTAGCTCAAACACAAAGAAATGTTAAATGTTTGAAGTGATGGATAAGCCAATTACCCCCAAACTGATCATTACACATTTGTACACATGTATTGAGATGTCACGCTGTGACCCACAAATATGTACAATTATTATGTCAATTAAAAATATATTTTAAAAGAGAAAAAACTGCGTATAGAATAGTTACAGAAATACCACAGATTAGCAAAGGAACTGAGGGCCCTTTAATCACTATAGCCGTATGTTAATGTATGGAATTGAAGCCAACAAACTTTAATTTACCCCAAAGTGGGTGTTAACTGACTCTATCATTTATTTCTGAAACATTAGTACCCAATATCAATGAGAGTACACAGCAGTAAATTGAGCAAATGACCCCTCCAGTCCTATCTAGACAGGCCTAAGAGCTGACAGCATTATATCATACCTGGGTAAACTGGATCTTGAGGGACAGCAGAATTCTCATCTGGGGCCACATTGACCTTCAAATTGGCATGTACTTGAGCCTAGAAAAATGAAATTCAGAGTTCACTAGTTGTTAGATCGTGTAGGTTTGATACCCAGTTTAGGAAAAGCCAAGCCCTGTTCCTCAATGGACATGTCAAGTTGAATCTTCTCTAGGTCATGGCTATAGAATCCGCTTTCATAAGAACTGAAATGGAGTCAGTGAGAGGGGGAAGGTTGAATGGACACGGTGCAGGGTGAGATGAAGGACCAAGATCATTTAGAACCTGCCCTTTTTCTTCACCTTCTTACTTCATCTCCTTTTTTTAACCTCCTATTTCCAGATCTCACATTGACCCTGGAAAGGTGAAGAGAAGGAGGCCCACAGGATCTTAGCAAAATATTTTGAGAAAACAGTACATAGTGTTAGGATGAACTTGGACACTTTCTCTCAGTTTCCAATTCTATCCTGAAATTGGCCAAAGGTGAGATTCTAGCAGGAGGTACAAAAATAAATAAATAAGTAAAAGGAGGCTTGTATGTTTCTATTCATTGACTCCACAACGAGAAAACAGATAAAGCCAGGGTCATGGAGTCCTTCGCATCTGAAAATCCAGTTATAACCTAAAAATAGCATCAAAGAGAAAAGACCCTCCCAAAGCAAAAGAGAGCACCCCACCAGATCCTTCTTGTTTTCTAGAGAAGGAACTTTTTAAAAAATTTTTTTAGTTTTTTAGATGGACACAATATCTTTATTTTGTTTTTTTTTATTTGCTGAGAATCGAACCCAGTGCCTCACTGCATGCTAGGCAAGCGCGCTACCACTTGAGCCACATCCCCAGCCCCTAGGGAAGAACTTTTGCTGGGACATCCATGAGCATAGTTACCTGTTGACAGGCTTGTTTCCAGTTGAGCCGAGCAATAAAGACTATAAAGCACACAGCTTGAGCGACAGTACAGATGATGATCCCTGCCCATAGACCTGGATGTGGAAATATTTAACAGAGGTGGTTAGCTCAGTGGAAAATGGCCACCCCTGAGAGGATGTATGCATCTCCTGTTACTTCTGCAGACCATGCTGGGAATCTGCTTCCATGGCTGAGATGGGGTCCACAGTGGACCGTAGGGCTCTACTTGCTCTATTCTTGGGTTTCCAGAAGGCCAGCACCCCCTGAGACCACATTCTGTGATTGTCACAGCAAAGTTTCAGAGGTTATCGCTGGCCATTTTTATTATAATGATTGGATATTAATAGTAGTGCCAGTGACAAGAAAATTAAATTTCCCAGGACAAAACTCCTTCTGCTCTATGTTCCTCAAAAAGAGATGAACATTTAAAAAAAAAAAAAAAAGCAGAAATCATCATGGTCAATAAATGAATTAAAATATTTCATTTTTAATTTGGCTGCTTCTAGTAGAAGCCTTTGATTTGGGATATTCGTTAGTTTGCATGTCGGTCACCTGGAGAGATGTATTAAAAAGGAAAAAAATGTAAGAAAAACCTAAGAATTATTTGTTCATAGTATTAGTCCTGGTAATTCTTGTGCTCCATCAAATGAATCCGAGGAAGGATCAACGGCAACAGGAACAAGACTATTGGGATTTCTTGCTCCAGCAGAAGGGAGACACAGCATTAGAGACTGTCGAGCTAGCTCTTCAAACAAAGGGAGCTAAGTGTTCATTCCTGTGCAAGGATGGCAAGGGTGGGCTAGAGTCTAGGAATTTTAATTGGCTTTGGGCATATTTTCTAAGGTCTTTGTGTGTGTGTATGTGTGTGTGTGGGTCCTTCAACCTTGAGTGAGGGGCCTTCAGTCTGGAGCAAATGTTACATCTTTCCCTAAATAATCACTTCTGCCTTGTGATAAGGATGAATTGCTGGAACTGTGGAGAAAACACATGCAGATGGAGAAAAACATAAATCATGCAAGTAACAAGTTCAGGGTCCTTGAAATTTGCTATTTCAATGATGCCTCAACAGTTTTATTATTTGTTCTTGGAGAGTCATGGCAAAGGTATCCTGACTTTAGTGATGCATCTGGTTTTTGGAGACCTATAAGACGGTTTGAGAGTGAGTGAGGAGGGAAAGAGACATACTGGGCTCCCTGGAATTCATTTGTTCCTGTGGGGTTCTGATTATCTCATCCCCTCCCCTCTCAAAGTTTTTACCACTTAACCTTAGGGATGCTACTTTCCATGGGGGATCCCTGACTGTACCTCAGTATTTAGGCTTCTGAAAGGGAAAGAAAGCTTTTTATTGGGGGGGGGGCATGCTGGGGATTGAGTCCAGAGCCCTGTGCATGCTAAACATATGTTCTACCATTGAGTTACACCCCCAGCTGAGAAACCATTTTAGAAATCAATGTTTGTATTCAAAAAGGTGCTTGTAACACCTGGATCCCATTTTACATTGGTGTTAAAACATTTTAACAGTTAAAAAATAAAATGATTTTCATAGCAAAATTCACCACACATTAAGAAGTAATGATATTCTCTACCCCAGAGTTTCCTACTTGACCTCTACAGATTTTTCTGGAAGCTTGCAGGGGAGGGTTATGCACCCAGAGATGATTAGAAACAAAGAGGAGATGTTGAGTGGAAATGAATGATAGAGAAAGCCTGTTAGATCTCAAAGTATTATACAGATTCTACCTAATGAACCTACACAGGGCCAGGCACAGTAGCACACATCTGTAATTCTAGCTGCTCAGGAGGCTGAGGCAGGAGGATGGCCAGTCTGAGACCAGACTGAGCAACTTAGCAATATGCAGTCTCAAAATAAACATTTTTGTAAAAAGGGAATGGGTTGTAGCTCAGAGGTAGAACACTCCTGGGTTCAATCTCTGGTATCAAATAAATAAATGAATGAATAAATAAATTTAAAACCCTATATAGGGCATTGAGGAGATGCAAATAATGAGAGGCTTTGTCAATAATGAACTAATGATAGAATCAAAAGCTCTAAGGTAGTCCATGGGAGGACGAATGTATAGACAGACAATTGCCAGACTGGACATAAAAATAGAACTCTGACCCACATGCAGCAACCAGCCCAGGAAACCAACCTTTTATCCACAATAAGCAACCCAGGAAGGCAGAGTGCTAGAAACCAGACTTGCTGGAAGCCACATTGGCATCTCTAGTGATAAATCAGAAAGCCAAACCATAACTTCCACAACAATCAATGCCAAATGGCCAGGCTTGGCTCATAACTGACAGCTTCCCTAATTTGGGTCCCCACTTCCACCTTCAGACAAATATATACCCTGAGCCAATCATGTAGTGGCCCCACGTCTAGTCAGCCACCTCTAGCTCCCCCAGGCCAAGAGCCTCCAATCAGGGCCACCTGAGCCATCTTCTTACTCACTATAAATAAAGCTCTCCCACTACCAGTGGCTGACTTCCCTGAGTGGCAGGTTCAGAACACAAAGCCTTTACTTTTCTCCTTTGCTTGTTCTCGGTTTATTTCCACAGCTGTTCATATCCATGAAAGGATTAAGGGGGCTAGACTGGGTTCCCAGGTTCGGGTGGGGAGACTCCATGCAAGGTTTACAGCTCCTCTACTCCTCTTCACCAATCACATTCCCATCACATTTGTCAGGAGTGGCCAGTCGCTCTTCATTCACAATAGTGAAGTTAGTGACCACCTACTATTCCTGTAATGGAATAGTAAAAGCAAGTCCCTCCTTCCTCTTCCAAATCCAGAGTTCCTAGTACACAGAAATTACAAGTTCACCTTATCTTTAACAGAGAATAACTAGCTAGCTCCAGTCATAATTTGAAAATTATGAACTTGATTTCTAGTAATTTCACAATACATATTAAAAGATTTCTGTTTGACTCAACTAGGAACCCCACACAGGATTTTGGTTTTGTTTTGGTTTGGGGGAGGGGAGGGTACCAGGGATTGAACCCACTTAACCACTGAGCCACATCCCCAGCCTTTTTTTTTTTTTTAATGAGATAGGGTTTGCTAAATTGCTGAGGCTGGCTTTGAACTCACAATCCTCCTGCCTCAGCCTCCCTCACCACTGAGATGACAGGTGTGCACCACTGCACCCAGCCAAACAGGATAATTATTAGAATATCCTGGGAAGGACGTAGGAATTTTCATATTAGAAAGACCTCCAAGGGAATTCTGAGGCTGTTACAATGTGTTAGGTTGCTCAGAAGAATCTGTAGCATTTTGATATTCATCTGGGCATTTTGTACAGTTATACTGCGCACCCTACTGGGAGCAATATGACATTCTGAACCAATTCATGCTATACTTCCATCTAAATGGTAGGTGGGAAGAATTGACTACAGTCCTTTCACAATGTCCCCTTTATAAATTCTCAAATCCCTCTACTTTGCACACAGTAGGTATGTTTTTACTAAATGAATGAAGTGGGACAAGTACAGCCCTTAGGATATAGAGGGATCTATATTTTAAAGTAAATTCCTCCTCTTCCAGAAAAGTTGAACTGAAAAAAGTAGAGAGTAGAATGACGGTTACCAGAGGCTGGGGTGGCCCCGGGGGGGATGGGGTGGGAGAGTATGGGGAATTGTTGGTCAAAGGGTACAAGGTTTCTTGGGCCAAAGTGTGTGGCTCTGTGGTAAAGTGTTTGCCTAGTATGCTTGAAGCCCTGGATTTGATTCCAAGAAACACAAAAGGACACAATATTGTAGACTGACAAGAAGAATGAGTTTTGAGATCTACTGCACAGCAGGGTGACTATAGTCAATCATACCATACTGCATATGAGTGAATTTCAGATGTCTCACCATGAAAAATAAGCAAGATGACAGGTATGTTAATTACTTTGATCTAATCATTCCACATTGTATGCACATGAAAATACCACATTGTGCCCCACATATGTATACAATTGTGATTCCTTTTTAAAATTATAATTAGTGCATATTAATTGTACAAAATAATGGGTTTATTTGTAGCATTTTCATACATATATGTATGCTTTTTCAATTAAAATAATTTTTATAAAATGATACAATATAAAAAGAATATAAGTTATCTTTAGTATTTTATACTTATTGAATGTTTCAATGATAATATTTTAGATAGATAGTGTTAAATAAAATATCAGTAAAAAAAAAATAGGTTCTTCTGTTTAATTTCCATTAACATTTTCATCAGTGAAGTCAAAGCCTGAATAATGCCAGAAACTCAGCTAAATAATTTTCTGCACCAATGAGTTCTGAAAATTCCGTTCTTTGACCATCTTCTGTATTTTTAATTAAAACATCATTGAACTTGAGAAAAATGTGCAACACAATGAAGCACATTGGACTTGAAGTTCTCTGTGGGTATCAGATGACTTCTCACCACCTCTGAGCCCGCCAAATACTAATAGATTAAAACAATCCATGCTTAAGTCAGTTACCACTTCACCCCAAAGACAGTGTTCAGGTTTTAATATCATCATGTATTCACTACCAATACATTCCCAATTATTATTTTAGAAACCAAAGCTAGGCAGTCATATATTTCCCTACTTTAAAAAAAAAATAGCTCTGGTAATTTCAGAGCATGTGGATTCAGTTCTTTCCTCCAAATTCAGTAAGAGGATATTATGGTTTAGATAGGAGGTATCCCCCAAAAGCTCATGTGTGAGACAAAACAAGAACTTTTAGAGGTGAACTGATTGGGTTACAAAAGCCTTAGCCTTATCAATGCATTAATCCACTTGAATGGATTAACTGGGTGGTAACAGTAGGCATGTAGGGAGTGGCTAGAGGAGGTGGATCACTGGGTGTGTGCCTTTGGGGTTTATATTTTGCCCTTGTTAAGTGGAGTTTGTCTCTGTTTCCTGATATCATGCCCTGAACTGCTTCCCTCTACCACACCATTCTATCATGATGTTCTACCTCACCTGTGGCTCAGAGCAATGGAGCTGGCCATCTATACACGGAGACCTCTGAAACTGAAAAGCCCCCAAATAAGCTTTTCCTCCTTTAATTGTTCTTGTCAGGTCTTTTGGTCATAGTGGGAAAAAAAAAAAAAGACTAAAAAAAGGGACAAAGAGATGTCTTGCCCCACCTTCCTTCTGCACTGTCCACATTGATTCCCCCTCCCATACCCTATGGGAATACCCACAAGATATGGATAAGATATACCAAAGATTATGGCAGGTGGGAGGCAGAGGCTACAGAAGAAGGTAGGATGATAAGGAGAGCGCTGGCCAGTTGCCATGCCCCTTGGTGAGCACAGAAGGGTGCTATTCTATGTCCTACTGGGTCCAGGTGCCATGTTGCTGACCGGCCACTTTCCTACTTCACCCCAATCTCTCCAGGATGGCCACAGGAGGATGACCTTCCTATTGCAGTTTCACTGTCAGGGTCTTGCCGACGCAAGGGGCTATCACTAAAAGAACAGAACAGATCTACAAAAGGGACGTTTCCAAATGCTTCTTCGGTGGTCCTTGTTGTCACTCCTCCGAAGAAGTGAAAACTGGACAGGTAAATCAGGGAGAGGAGTAGAAAGGACATTTTGTTGTGCTGGGTATCGCAATGGGGACCATCACCTGCATGGGCAAGAGGGGCATGACCAGGCAGCCTTGGGCTCCTGGCTGAGGCTGGGGCTGGGGCTGGAGCTGGAGGCTACTGTGTGTCCAGCCCTTGCTTTCTCTAACCAAGGGTAGAACTGAAGTGGAAAACTCCAGAATTCCAGAGTCAAGTTTCAGTGTTCTTTGAGGGTCATTTCCTGGTCGGTAACTGCTCTGCCTGCCCAGATCTGAAGGATTAAAACAAACCATACTTAAATCAGTTATACTTCACCCAAAGACAACCTTCAAGTTTTTTTGTTTTTTTTTTTTTAAAGAGAGAGGGGGGTTGGGGGGGGAGAGAGAGAGAGAGAGAGAGAATTTTTTAATATTTATTTTTTAGTTATCGGCGGACACAACATCTTTGTTTGTATGTGGTGCTGAGGATCGAACCTGGGCCGCACGCATGCCAGGCAAGCGCGCTACCGCTTGAGCCACATCCCCAGCCCCAACCTTCAAGTTTTGATATAATCATTTATTGACTACCAGTATATTCCCAATCATTATTTTTTAAATAAAGCTTACCAATCACTCCAAGCTTGGCCGCAAACATCAGTGCGATCCCAATGGGTAGACCAATCACGTAATACCCAATGGCGTTAACAATGGCTCCCACCTTCTGACTTCCAGTTCCCCGCAGAATGCCACCACTCGTACACTGTGGGCAGGTAACATCTCATCAGTGTGAACACTACTGGTGCTTTTGAAAGACTCCCCACCTCCCAAGCACGGACCAGATATTTCATGCCGCTCAGAATTAAAAATCCCTGAACATGTGACAATATCCTGCAGAAGTAACCATGGCAATAGTACTTCCTACCCTAACTCCTCTTCTCAGTTGAAATTTACCATCATCAACAAATGGGACTTACTCAAACTAAAAAGTTTTTTCTCAGCAAGAGAAACAATAAGAGAGGTAAATAGGGAGCCTACATCCTGGGAACAAATCTTTACTCCTCACACTTCAGATAGAGCCCTAATATCCAGAGTATACAAAGAACTCAAAAAATTAAACAATAAGATAACAAATAACCCAATCAACAAATGGGCCAAGGACCTGAACAGACACTTCTCAGAGGAGGACATACAATCAATCAACAAGTACATGAAAAAATGCTCACCATCTCTAGCAGTCAGAGAAATGCAAATCAAAACCACCCTAAGATACCATCTCACTCCAGTTAGATTGGCAGCCATTATGAAGTCAAACAACAACAAGTGCTGGCGAGGATGTGGGGAAAAGGGTACACTTGTACATTGCTGGTGGGACTGCAAATTGGTGCAGCCAATTTGGAAAGCAGTATGGAGATTCCTGGGAAAGCTGGGAATGGAACCACCATTTGACCCAGCTATTGCCCTTCTCGGACTATTCCCTGAAGACCTTAAAAGAGCGTACTATAGGGATACTGCTACATCGATGTTCATAGCAGCACAATTCACAATAGCTACACTGTGGAACCAACTTAGATGTCCTTCAATAGATGAATGGATAAAAAAAAAATGTGGCATTTATACACAATGAAGTATTACTCAGCACTAAAAAATGACAAAATCATGGAATTTGCAGGGAAATGGATGGCATTAGAGCAGATTATGCTAAGTGAAGCTAGTCAATCCCTAAAAAACAAATGCCAAATGTCTTCTTTGATATAAGGAGAGCAACTAAAAACAGAGCAGGGAGGAAGAGCATGAGAAGAAGATTAATATTAAACTGGGACGAGAGGTGGGAGGGAAAGGGAGAGAGAAGGGAAATTGCATGGAAATGGAAGGAGATCCTCATTGTTATACAAAATTACATATAAGAGGATGTGAGGGGAAAGGGAAAAAAATCAAGGGAGAGAAATTAATTACAGTAGATGGGGTAGAGAGAGAAGATGCGAGGGGAGGGGAGGGGGGATAGTAGAGGATAGGAAGGGCAGCAGAATACAACAGTCACTAGTATGGCAGTATGTAAAAACGTGGATGTGTAACCGATGTGATTCTGCAATCTGTATACAGGGTAAAAATGGGAGTTCATAACCCACTTGAATCAAATGTATGAAATATGATATGTCAAGAGCTTTGTAATGTTTTGAACAACCAATAAAAAAAAAAGAAAAGAAAAAAAAACCCTTCAAAAAAAAATTTACCATCATCAGAAGAAACATAATGTAGATCATGAAAGTTCTTAAGGGCATAACACTCACAGAAAGTCCTTCAAAGAGGTGGGACACAGCATAAATTGGGACCACCTGAGCCACCAGAGCAACGATGTCTCTGTTCAGAAAATAAAGCACATGGTGATTAGTGGAACACAAATATGTGGGAAAGGAGAACTATGCAGTTCCCAGGTGGTGGGACTTTGCTCCTGTCTCAGTTCAGCAGCACAGTTCTTGCAGACATGGCCCATGCGTCCTAGCCAATAGCTTCTATGCAGGGACAATGATACAGGTGCTTGGCCCAAAGAAGAAACGAACTGCATGTTGTAGGACATGATTTTTTTTCTCCCCAATGCTAGAGATCCAACTCAGGATCTTGCACATGCTAGGCAAGTGTTTTACCACTAAGCTATACGCCTAGCTCTATCTTATAACTTTTAGGGGAAAAAATTATACATATATGTATATCATTGCTAAATAAAAGTCCTTTGAAAGCAGGCAAATGTAATTGAATGTAATTGACCAAATGGACCACATAAACCAATTCAATGACTTGGTACTCCACTGCCTGCAAAAACTGAAGCTTACATTTTACTGTCATCCTTCTAAAATAATTCCTTAGACCAGGCACTATGGCGCACCCCTGTGTTCCCAGCTACTCAGGAGGCTGAGGCAGGAGGATCCTAAGTTCAAAGCCAGCCTGGGCAACTCAGCAAAACCCTAATGCAAAAAAAGAAAAAGAAAAGAAAAGAAAGAAAGAAAGAGCTGGGTATGTTGGTGCACAACCGTAATCCTTGTGACTTGGTGGGTTCTGAGGCAGGAGGATTACAAGTTCAAGGCCAGCTTCAGCAATAGAGTGAGGCTCTAAGCAACTTAGCAAGATCTTGTCTCAAAATTAAAAGTAAAAAGGGCTAGGGATGTAGCTCAGTAGTAAAGCCCCATCCCTGAATTTTGGTCACCCAACACCAAAATAAATTTTAAAAGTAAATAAATAAAATTTAAAAATTTAAAAGTGTGTGCTAAGGATGTGTCTCAGAGGCAGAACACTTCTGGGTTCAATCCCACAGTGGATAAAGCATTGCAGAGTTAAGAGTTAAGGTGCTCTCTATGGGGAGCTGAAGGTATAGTTCAGTGGTACAGCACCTACCCAGCGTGTATGAGGCTATGAGTTTGATCCCCAGCATCACCAAAAAATGAACAAAAAAGTGCGTTCTATGGAACTAAGGTTAGTAAGTTTCACAGCCATAGATCCTACAAGTGGGCTCTAATTTCTAATGCTAGACTAGATGATTCCCCCGCCCTCAGGGAAGGAGGACTCATTTGGGATTTAACCCAAGTGCTCTTTACCACTGAGTTACATCCCTTTTTATTTTATTTTATTTATTTATTTTTTAAATTTTTGAGACATTGTTTCGGCTAAGTTGCTGAGACTGGTCCCGAACTTGTGATCCTCCTGAGTCACTGGAATGACAGGCATGTGCCACCGTGCCCCCTAGAGAGACAGATTTAAAAGCCCACATGTGATAGGAAGCAAGAAAAATTCTATCACTGACCTTAGGGAGGCAAGAAATTCATCATACCCTTCAGTGGACTGGTCACAAATAAGCCCATATTATTGCACGACAATAAATATTTGTTAAATGAATGAATAAATGAACAAGATGATCACTTCCTCAGAAAGGACAGGAACATAGTTCATTTACTAAAATTTAATGTCTGAATAGGGAAAATTTGCAAATGATTAAAGAAATCAAACAACAGGAAAAGGAAGGTGAGAAGCCTTATGGCCACAGTCTTCCAGTCCACCCCATTACTACCCTGTCCTCCCAGGTAACAATTTTTTCTACTTTCTGTATTTGTCCAGTTTTAATGAAAATATAAGCAAATACAAATGGATACTCTTGATTTCTGTACACTATCACTTCACAAAAAGCATTCTGTACATGATCTGCATCTTGCCATTTCCACCTCTCATCTTCACCTTTCCTATTCTACCAAAATATATTATTTTCAATGTGTTGTTCAATTCTTGCCTACTAATACTTTATTTTGGATTTTTATTTCTTTTTCTTTTGGGTGCTGGGGATTGAATCCAGGGTGCTGTGCAACCTAAGCTTGCATGCTGGGCACACCCAAAGGAGCACACCCCTGGCTCTTTATTTTGGATTTTTAAATCCATATTAATAAGTGAGAATGGTTTGATTTTCTTTTTCTTTTTTTTAATGTGCAAATTTTGTCAGATTCTGGAGCCACTGTTATGTTTGCTTCATAAACAGAATGCTGAAATTCCATTTTTCTGTGCTGAGGAATAGTTTAAACATGACTGGAATTTTATCTACATTTTAAAGATTGGATAAAATTCTCCTTTGGGACCCTCTGGAACTACTGCTTTTTTGACATTTTGAGTTACTGTCTCTTATTTCTCATAAGGAAATCACTATGTTTAGACTTTCAATCCCTTTTTTGGGTAATTTTTTAATGTATATATTTTTCTAGTTGTTGATGGACCTTTAATTTATTTTATATGTGGTGCTGAAAATCGAACCCAGTGCCTCACACATGCTAGACAAGTGCTCTACACTGAGCCACAGCCCCTGCTCTTCTTGAGTAAATTTTGATCAATTATTTTCTTAGAGAATTGTCTATTTCTTCCAGTTCTTAAAAATTCTCTTGCAAAAATAAAAACGTGCAAACTGATTTCTCTCATGGATTTTTTTTTTTAAAAAAAAGATGATGATTTGCAGTAATTCACTCCTTTCTTACTACTTTGTGTAGAGGGACTTTCTCCTTCTCTCCCCTGAGATTAAACAGGCCCTGCTTCATTTATATCATGGATTTTGCTCATTTCAGTTGTTTCTTGGCTCCTTAGTGACAGCAACACATTCTGAGAAACACTATTGTTAGCTGATGTCGCCATTGTGCGAACATCTCAGAATGAACAAACTTACACAAACCTGATGGTGAACCCTACTACACACCTTGGTTAAATAGTGTGTGTGTGTGTGTGTGTGTGTGTGCAGTATAGCCTATTACTCCTATGGCTCCTAGGGCCATGATAAAGACAACAGCATGAGAAAAGAATGCAATCAAGAGAAGCAGGTCCTAGGTGGTGCATGGGGCTCTGCAGACATAATACTGCTTCATGGGAAACCTTTATAAGGAGGAGTGCACTCTAAAATAATGATTAAAAGTGCAGTGTGATAAATACATAAACCAATAATATAAAGTCAGTTATTATAATTATCAAGTATTATGTAATATATACATGTTCATGTTATGCTTTTATACAAGTGGCAGAGCATCACCACAAACATGTGAGTGGTGACAGCTGTGGCATCGAGAGGCCACAGAACAGGAATTTTCAGCTCTTTTATAATCTGACGGGTCATATATTCAGTCCATCATTGACCGAAATGTCATTATGTTGCACATGATGTATTTTGATATTTGTGTTACCTGTGTCTCCTAATCTCAAAGATACAGTTTTTAAGTCTTTTTAGTTTGTTTGTTTGTTTTATCCTTTTCCCTGCTCTGTGTGGTTTTCAGAAGTGGACAGAATGCAATCCCCCACATTTCCAACGGAACCATCAGTCTAGCCTATATTTCCAGTAAATTCTGATTCCCTTTGAGAAAAATGAGAACTATTTATGATTGCCTTCCTTACTCATCCCAAAATGGAAAATCTGTAATACAATGGCAGAGAATGAAAAAAAAAAACCTATGGAATATAGAAGATAAATATCTGAAGAGTAAACTGAAAGTTTGTTCTGCCCACTCCAATGGCTTTTTGAAACCATGAAGCAAAAGCCAATTTGCAATTTGGAATTGCTAACAAGGGATCCCAAATAAGAAGTATTCCCATGGTATTTCTGTATAGTTAGAATGTACCAGCTAGCCTCATCAATGAAGAAAGGAAAAATCTGCAAAGCAGAAAGGTATTTATCGCACTCCAGAATTCTTCAGCAATCAATCTAATACTGTGATTCCTTTTATCCCCAGCCCTATTTTGTATTTTATTTAGAGACAGGGTCTTACTGAGTTGCTCAGTGCCTTGCCGTTGCTGAGGCTGGCTTTGAACTCATGAACCTCCTGCCGCACCCGGCCAATACTGTGATTTCTGAGACAGCTTATGAGTGAAATTTTAACTTCAATCTGATTTGGCAAAAATATTATGCATACTCTATAAACCAGGCAGTTTGGCAGATATAAGATGATTCGTGTCATTGGAGCCAAGATAATTGTTGAGTAGCCCTAATCAGAAATATTACACTAGAAGTGTTCCAGATTATTTTTCAGATTTTAAAATATTTGCATATACGTAATGAGGCATCTTGATACTGGACTTAAATTTAAACACAAAATTCATTGATGTTTCATAGATACCTCATACACATAGGCTAAAAGTAATTTTTTTTTTGTACCCTTAACTACTAAGCTACATTCTCAGCCCTTTTTATTTTTTGATTTTGGGACAGGGTCTCACTAAGTTGCTTAGGGCCTTACAAATTTGCTGAGGCTGGCCTTGAACTTGTGATCCCCCTGCCACAGCTTCCGGAGTCACTGGGATTATAGGCATGTGCTACCACACCCGGCCTGAAGATAATTTTATGCAATATTTTAGAGTGCCTAGATTTTGCCTGCTAGCTGTCACGTGAGGTGAGGTGTAGAATTTTCCACTTGTGGCATCATGCTGGTGCTCCAAAGGTTTCAGACTCTGGAATACATCTGATTTGAATTTTGGAATGCTATAATCATCTGAAAATGTATTCAATAGTAACAAAAAACATTTAAGAAAAAAAGACATGACCATCAGAAGGGTAATATCACTACCAATAGCCATCAAACTGACATTCTAGAATATAAAAAGATTCCCACATCTAATTAGTAGAGTTTCTGATCTTGCAAAAGACTCAGACCCATCCTGAGATGCATCTATCCCAGGCTCCCACCCCTCACGACAGCAACTCTTTCGCACAGATTTTACCTTTCAAGAAAATCCTGGCACTCACCGGTCAGTAGTGAAAATGTATCCCACGAGGTCCTTACAGCTTAACAGCAAGACACAAAATGTTATAGCAAAGAGCTCTGGAGGTGAGAGGGAAAAAACAGCACAGTGAACAAGGAGGCCCGAAGGACACAGGGGCACCTGGGTTTCATGTACAGAGGCTACAGGCACTATGAGGCTCATGCACGGGGCCAATGGGTCTAAGCACCTGTGACCAGCAGGGAAACCACAGAGGACTTCTTTGCCTGCTCAATGTTGCCAGCACCCAAAGCATTTCCTACCCGGACGTTGGCAGCCACACTGAAGCCCGCAGGGATCTAAAATGAAAAGGAAGCCTACAACAACAAAACTGCAAAATGAGAACAAGAAACAGAGAAGCAACTTGGTGCCTCATGTCTCCAAGGCAAAACTTGGTCCTATAAGTTCTGTAACCTAATTTGCAAATGGCCTTGGTCCTGCTGGGATGCCCAGGGCTTATGTGGAACCTGGATCCTCAAGATAACAATGCTCATCACACTCTGGACTTTTCTGTGAGTTTCTGAACCTCTGCCAGAGGAGGATCCCACAATCACAATCCTCCTCTGGGTATGAGGGAAGGGGATGAGCTACCCAGAGCCCATGCTAGTGTCTATTCTGAAAGATCATCAAGAGATTAAGTTTAGAAGACAGAAACTTGGTACCAAAGGAAGTATAAGGAAACCGAATTGGCACTGTAGTTAACGAATCAGGATTCTGAAGTCAGACAGCCTGTGTTCAAATCTCTGTGACCCTGAGCAAGTTACTTCACCTCTCTAGACCTATGCTTTGCGATCTCAATTTACTTCTACTTTCTGGACCTTCATTATTTTATCTGTAAAAAGGTTTCAGTCATGGAGCCTACTGGACAGGGATACTGTGGGTCTTTACTGAGTCCATACCTGCTTACTGCTTAAGACAGTGTCTCACAGTTAGTAACTGCAATACAATTTACCATGACTATTATCTATAAATTTTCCACTTGGCAAATATTAATAAAGAAAAAAGATTCATCACTCTATAAAAGTTGCTATATAGTCAGGATAACTAAGGATGGGGTTAAAGAAAATCTAATACACAGATTGAGGAAGGATTGAGAGATGTAAAAGAAATGGAAGACTTAGTCCCCACCTACAAGCTCATGAAAGGGACAGAGATCTTGCAACAAATGATTTCTTCACCATAAAGGAAGATATAGGGACATGAGAGGGAGAAATCTGGCAGGAACCACCTTAACTAAGCAACCCAAATTAACATCACCAATGATAGAACCATCAGTATCATGTGCCTCCTGATACAAGGCCCTGAGAAGAAGCACATGGCATTGCTTCTATAATATTCCTGCCAAAAATAGATATTAGTCTGAATCTATTTATGAGAAAATAGGTAGAACACACAGTCAAGGAAGACAGAGAAAGTCTAAGGATTTGTTCCAGATTAAAGAACTCTAAAGAGACATGTCACCCTAATGTCAAAGGAAATAAACAGTTATAGAGGAGATTATTGGGACAATTGGTGGCATTTAATTATGGACCTTGCAGATAAATAAACAGGCAGGTAGGTAGACAGATAGGCAGAGCCAGCAAACGGAGCAAAATGTGAGCAGTTGTTGAATCTGCAGAAAGGGGTCCTTCTTTTTGAAGAGAGAGAAGTAGAAATGTAAATTCTTACAAGCCTGTTGGAAGGTATATGCAACACATACAAAGGACTTGAAATTGTACATTAAATGTCACTTGGTACAAATTTAAAGAAACAATCGAGCAAGTACACAGAGACGTTCATCCTAGGATGTTCATTGAGGTGTCCATTTTATACATAGCCAAATGGAGGAGAGAATGTAACCCTAATGCCACAAAAAAACTCAAAGCATCTTTGCTGATTTTAGTCTCTTTCCACATTACAAATGCCCCTTTCCATCCTGCGCGCGCGCGCGTGTGTGTGTGTGTGTGTGTGTGTGTGTGTGGTATGCCAGCGATGGAACCCAGGAACTAGCACATGCTAGGCAAGCACCCTACCAATGGAGCTACACCCCCAAACCCTGTCTTTAATTTTATATTTCTAAAGTGATAACTTGCTATAGAAGAGAGTCCTTCAGAATATGCAATGGATGTTTTCCGTAAATCAAAGTCACAGAAAATCCTCAAATGAGTGGAGTTCCTCAAATGAATGGAAATCCTGCTTCCCATTCTTAGGAGGACCCATTATGATTTAGGAGGCTTCAGAACCAAGCAGTTGGGCATGGTAAGTAACTTAGCCTTTATGGCCACATACCCTGTTTCATCTCACCTGACCCCTCAAGGCATTTATGTTGTGACAACTGAAAAGATTCTAAATGTGTGAAAATACAATCAAACCTGTCCAACTTGAATTGTGATAGAGACAGAAAGCTAGAAGATTGTTATGATTTGGATATGAGGTGTCTCCCCAAAGCTCCTGTGTTAATTCTAGAGGTTATGGGAGCTGTAACCCAATCAGTGGATTAATCCATTTGATGGATTAAGAACTTGAAAAGACTACCACACTGGGTGGTAACTGTAAGCAGCTGGACCATGGCTAGAGAAGGAGGGTCACTGGGAGCATGCCCTTAAGGATTATATCTTGTCCCCTGGCTCCCCCTTCTCTTTCTGGTCCCATGAGGCAGCCTTCCTTCATCACGCCCTCTACCATGATGCTTTTGGGCCCAGAGCAATGGAATCGGCTGTCCGTGGACTGAACCCCTGAAACCATGAACCCAAAATAAACTTTTCCTCCTCTAAGTTCTTCTTGTCAGGTTTTTGGTCACAGCAATGAAAAGCGAACACATAGATCATTTGGAGTTTCTGCCTAACTCCGGCTTCAGCTCACCGGGAAGATCCAGCCATACCATAAGGACCCTCCTGGGCTTTCGGATAACATTCATCAATCATTTCACAAATTACTTACGTCACAAATGCTGTGCCCATCAAAGAACGCCACTTGCAGAATACCAAGCAAGGGGAACACCTAGCATGTCCACATGGTGGCACTCACTTACCATGTACACGATGATGGCTAGCTCATACACGATGGACTGAGCTCCCAGCTCCACCATGCCAAGGATACCTGGTGAATCAAGAAAGCTGACACCTTGCTTTTGGACCGATCTCCCCAATCCCCTGCACCCTACCCCCATTTTCACAAATCATCCTTATACAGACCACACAGGAAGCTCCCAATCTCGTAGGCCCACCACTCGATGCACAGCATGAGCATGCTTGGGATAGCCAGGCGCAGGAAGGAGGCCCAGTCCTGCAGGCACTCGAGGGACCACCCTGCAGGCACACACACACACACACACATTTCCAGCATTATCTGGCCATTGGGCTGAACTCAGCCCAAGGCAAAGGCTCATCCACATTAGAAGACAAAAGGCAGTCGTACCTCCCCATGTAGCTTGATGCAGTTTTCTCCCAAGGATGTAGAGAAAGAGGAGGAGAGCCAGGGTGAACTGAGCAATCATATTGGCCAATGCAGAACCCCTGGAAAAGACAGTCCTTGTAAGGGCAGGCACCTGTGCTTCACCTTGTCCAAGCCTTCCTCAGTGAGGAGGGAAGCCATGCCCCTTGTTGTACTCTCTTCAGCAGGTTCCAAGATTATCTTCCCAGGACAGTACATCCCTCCATCCCCAATAGGGTTTTCCAGAGTAGCAGAAGGAGGCTACACAAGGAACAGCAAGTGCCCACCCTTCTTCCCCTTGGAGAAGTCCCAAGGGGAGGCTGGACTCACATCACCCCAAGATGCAGTTGATGGAGAAACAGGTAGTTGGCAAGGGCATTGACAAGGTTAGCGGCAACTCCCGTCAGGATCTGGGGCAGAACAATTCCCTGGAACAAGGAGATGACACAGGCCACACTTACCAGACACTCTCCAGCTAGCCTGCTCAGCTGGGTGTTTATCTCTGGTGTAGCAGGAGGGGTTAACTGGGGTGCAGTATTAGGTCCCTGCTACTCCTACCTCCCACTCTCCCAGTCCCTCCTCTTGCTTCTCTTTCTAAAGCATGAAGTGAAGAGCTCTAACCACAGAGAAACGTACGGGCAAGAAATGTGGAGAAAGCAGAGAGAAGAGAAATGGCTCATCTCCAAAGGTTCCAGGATGCAGGAGCTGACAGGTTTAAAAAAGGCACTTCTACACTGGACGGTGTGTGAAAGTGCAATACTCTCTCAACCAAAATGGGAATTCAGAAAAATCGACCAAAGAAGATCTTGTGAAACTAGTGTTTCTTTCTGGAGGTGTGTAGAACAGACTATATCATAGCTGACTCTGAGAAACAGGGGCAGGAAAAATGTCCAGTCTATTTGGGTATTTCAAATGCAGACTTAGGGGCTAGGGTGTAGCTCAGTGGGGGAGCACTTGCCTAGCATGTTTGAAGCCCTGGGTTCAGTTCCTAGGGGGAAAGTAGCAAATCAAATGAAGACTTAGCACATGGACATAAAATAACATTTTATGGATGGCAAAATCTGTCCTGCCACATAAGGATAGAAGAACAGAATACGTAGGCTGCAAAGACAAGAGGGAACACTATTGCTCCCAAAGTCTCATTGCTCCCATAAACATGTCTTTCTTCTTCTTTTTTTTTTTCTTTGAATGACTGCTGCTTTCTTACACACTGAGAAATTTTCTTCTCAAAATCAAAGTCTGTAAGAAATGTTGCTGTTTGAAATGATCTCAGTAAAAAGAAAACATCCCACTCTTCCTTTTGACTTTAACACAAAAGCATCTTTCGGGGCTGAGGGTGAAGCCCAGGGGTAGAGCACTCCCTAGCATGTACAAGACCCTGGGTTCCACCCCCTGCACCATAAAAGGAAAAAGAAAGTAGCTTCAATTTCCACCCCACGTGCAGAACTTCACATGAGTCCCTGGATGTAGTGGATTACATCCACCTGCCTCCTACATCCACCATAGCTTTACAGTTTCAGAAGGAAGAGGACCTGGGTCCATGTTACAGTGTAGACTTGAGGCTGGTCCTTCACTCAGAGCCCAATTCTGTTCTAAGCCCACCAATCACCGCTTCATTTAAATTTCACCTGAACCCCAGCCTTCTTCAAACTCATTCTAACTCCTCTTCTTCATCTGATGAGACTCTCCATGACTCCTCTGATTTTTCTCTCAATAATGATTGGAAAAACCTAACAGGTTCATCTCTGATGGCTCAGGCAGAAGGGGCCAGGACAAGAGTCTTCTTTGACAACCACTTACATAAACCACTTATTTATCAAAAAGCCCCTGGTTAGTTTTTTAGCCGGGGAGCTTACGATCAGATTTACATTTGAGTCTGAAGATAAAATCAGCATTGTGGTGTTGGATGGACTCAGAGAAAGACTGGCAGCAGGAACACTTAGATTCTACAGAAATGACAGAGAACAAATGGCAGGAAATGAATTAGGCGGTGGCATCGAGGAGGGGGAGGGGCAGGTAGCACCTATGGGACCAGGTGACTGAGCAGACAGATGTAGGAGGAAGAAAAAAGAAGAAGTTACAGCCAGGCGTGGTGGCGCACGCCTGTAATGCCAGCGGCTTGGGAGGCTGGGGCAGGAGGATTGCGAGTTCAAAGCCAACCTCAGCAAAAGCAAGGCCTAAGCAACTCAGTGAGACCCTGTCTCTAAATAAAATACAAAATAGAGCTGGGGATGTGGCTCAGTGGTCCAGTGCCCCTGAGTTCAATCCCTGGTACGGAAAAAAAAAGAAAGAAGTTGTTAAAGGTGTGACAGAGCCTATGAAAGACAGATTACAAGGAGAGAAAGTGGTGGAGGCCATGGATTGAGATGGTATCCAGGCAGGGGAGGAGCAGGCTTGTGGGCAGGATGAAGAGGTCTTATATGCTACATGCATGAGTCTCCCAAAGACAGCTGGAAATATCACCTGGAGGTCAGAGACAGATGTGGAAGTTAAGTGCACACAAATACTCAAAGAGGTAGCTCCCTCAGAGAAAGTCACAGGAGACCCAGGGAGGTCACTTTCCTACCTGAACATTTAAGGATTTCCTAGGCTCCTCTGTTCTCTTCCTCCCCTATGCCCCCTCTTGCAGATTACGAAGTCTCTCCATCACAGCCAGTTGCTTCTTTTTGTTCTACACTCAACTACTGACCAGGCTTCTCACTAGGGAGGGCCCCTGAGAAAGAAACTTTGGGGTAAAGTGCCACTCCCTCCTCTCCGATGGTCCCTCCAGTCCACCTGCCCTCTCATTCTATTGAGCTCACCACGATCGCATGTCCTGCTGCTCCCACAAGGCAATGCTTCCTTCCTCGCGGACCTTCATCATCCCACTACCTCCATAACTACCTCATCTCTGCTCTGCTAATTAGCTTGTTTCCTACAAACTAAAGCCCTCATCAGAGAACATGAGGATCTGCTCCAGCAGCCCCTGGGCCAGCGCACCCTTCTAACGCCATCACCCACAGTGTCCCCCAACACTGCAGCCCCACTATCTGGGGTACCCTTCCCTTGCTTTCTCCTTAGAAACCGCTCATGCTCACCATAACTCTGTTCACACCTCTGACCCTCCTCAGCTCAGGGCTCCTACTTCTAGATCCCACATATTTCTGAAAAATGGTGTTTTCCTACCCACTGTCCTCACTTGACCAAATTAGGGCCTAAGGTTAAGGCCACCAAGAATGCTGACTTCTGGGTTGGGGATGGAACTCAGTAGTAGAGCATTTGCCCAGCATGCACAAGGCCCTGGGTTCCAGCCCCTCAGTCTAAAGATAGTTTGAGTATATAATTCTAACATTTAAAGATTGGAAGAGTCTTTATTTTTTTTTTAATGCAGTAATGTTCAATTGAGATCATGAAGAAGGTAGGCAACTTACTCTTTTCCTTCTCCTTTCCCTCATTCTTCACGTTCCTCATGCTAGGAAAGCCTGCCTGTGTGATGGGGATCCACATCCCAGCCCCCATTTACCTGGATTGTTCTAGAAGCAAGTCCATGGTCATACATCAAACACTGGCATCATGAATCCACAACTACCAAATCAGGCGACCATTCTGGGACCTTTGGCCACTTCTGTTAGCCACATATGAAAAGTCCTGACTAACATTAGATGTCATTAAAATTGAAGCTTATATGTCCCCACTGGGAAAACTGGGGGCTTTCAGACAGAATCAAGCAGAGAAGCTGGCTCTCTGGAACCAGGCAGGTCATTTGACCCTCATTTCTCTCCAGAGAGCAGACAGGACTGCACTCTTCCTTCCAAGGAGCCAGTTTAAAATGTAAGAGCCAAAGAACACAGAGGGTCCAACCCTATTTTGCCAATGACAATATTTCCCAGTGGGAACTGGATGTGAATTTTCCAGAGCCAAAAATAATGTTTTATTTCCTTGATATCACTTAGCACCCCTCTCCACATCAAAGTCCTGAGCGCACAACCTTGAAAATGTCCCCCACTCTGGGGTCTCTGAGTATGCACAGGGCCCCCATCCCATTAGCCTCCCAAAGGAAAAGAACTGTCCACATTACCTGGTTGAGCAAGTATTTAACTTGTAATATATAAAGAAAGGTTGCCTGCAAGAGAACCAGAGGTGGATGTTAACGTTGTGGTCTGGCCACACATCAGTGAGCGGGGAGCCACGGCTGGCTTGTGCTGTAACCAAGACCCAGCTGCCCTCTGCCCCCACAGGGACCCACCAAGCCTCCCTCTAAGCACAGGGTCAGGAGCAGGGCATTTGTGTGGCCAAGGAGTTTCCACACATCTCTCTTATGGATTCATATGATCCAAGCAAACCCCCATCTGAAAAAAGGAAATGCAGTTTTCTTGGTACATGGCAAAGATATTCTGGGGATATTGGGAGGTAACTTGGAGGGCCCCCTCCTTGTAGACAAGGCTGTTGTCCCACTCAGTGGAACGATGAAAAAAAAATCACATTTTTAAGGATTTTAGGGTAGAACTGGAGGTGCACCTCAGTGGTAAAGCATTTGACTAACATTTTAGGTCCTGGTTCAATGCCCAGCAACTCCCGCCCCACCCCCAACTCCTGCCCCTCCCCCCAAAAAAAGTGACATAAAAATAAAATAAAGGGCTGGGGATATAGCTCAGTTGGTAGAGTGCTTGCCTTGCCTGCACAAGGCCATGGGTTCAACCCCTAGCACCACAAAAAAAAAAAAAAAAAAAGAAAGAAAGAAAAAAGAAAAAGAAAAGAAAGAAACAATCAATCAATCGGGCTGGGATTGTAGCTCAGTGGTGGAGTGCTTGCCTGCATGTGTGAGGCACTGGGTTTGATTCTCAGCACCACATATAAATAAACAAAATAAAGGTCCATCAACAACTAAAAAAATCTTTAAAAAAAAATAAAATAAAAGCAGATAAACTAAAGAGCACAGAGTTAGTTATGAGGACCAATGGATACTATTACAGGCTGAACTGTGTCCCCCAAATTCACACTGAAGCCCTATTCCCCATGTGACTATATTTGGAGGTCTTTAAAGAGATGATTGAGGGTATAATAGTGATGCCCTAATCCAACAGGATCAGTGACCTTATAAGAAGGCACTAGGAGCTCTGTACACAAGAGGATGACTAAGTGACTTGGCAGCAAAAGAAGGGCCATCTAAAAGCCAAGGAGAGAGACCACAACCTTGCTGATACCGTTACCTTGGACTTGCAGCTCCCAGAACGGTGAGAAAATACATTTTTGTTGTCCCCCAGTCTGTGATATTATGTTGTGACAGCCCCAGCAAATGAATCCATCCACACTCTCCAACTTAAATGACCTTAGCTTTGATTGTTCATTGACCACAGACAAATGGGTGTCAAACATTAACACCTACCTAAGAGCTTGGTGGGATCACACTCTGTCTCCTGAGTGTGTCTCCACAAAAGGTCTAAAGGTCAAAGTGATGCTCTCAGAGGTTATGAGGTGGGTAAGACCTCTGGGGGTGGGGGGAAGAAAGTCTGAATTCTTCTCTCTGGATGATCCCACAAGGCCCTGAAGCTATTGGAATTCAAGAAGGTGGCCTCCTGGAATGGAGTCCCCCCCCCCCCCCCCCCCCCCCCCCCCCCCCGCAACCCTGGTGTTTCTTTGAGATGAAGTTAACATTGGCTGCGTCCTTAATGGGTGGGATTAAAAGCACACTTCTGCAAAGGAGCCTACGTCTCCCATGAGACTCACAAGACTGACTGAGCCAACACATGGGGTTCACAGATGTCCCAGCTACTGTTCACCCCTGGACCTCAAGGATGGAGCTTTTGAGCCCTTGAAAACTTACAGGAAGAGCTGGAATGAAGATCATCACATAGGTCTGTGTGAGCCTATATCATGAAAAATAAGAAACAATAAGAGAGGCCTGTATTTCAGGAGAGGCAGAATAGAATAACTCAAGCTACTTTTTGCATCCTTGGTTCTTCCTAAATAAATGGACTCAAACCACTGCAGAGAATGGGAAAATTGATACATAGATCTTGTCATCTTATAACCCAAATTACCTTTCTTGCTTCTTTCAAGCCTAAGTCTAGGATAGGTGTGTTATGGTTTGGGTGTGAGCTGGCCCCCCAAAGCTCCTGTGTTGCTGTTCAGAGGTGAAATGACTAGATGATGAGAGTTGTAACCTAATCAGGAGATCCATCCACTTGATGGATTTATGATTTGAAAGGAATCCTGTACTGGATAGCAACTGTAGGAGGTGTGGTGTGGCTGGAGGAAATAAATCTCCCGAGGGGTGCCCTGAGGGCTTATATCTGGTCCACCTGGCTCCTCCTTCTCAGCCACCATGATCTAAGCAGTCATTATCCTTTAAACCTGTGGGTCTCAAACATGGCAGCTCATTGGCATCACCTAGGAAGCTTTTTTATTTAATATTTATTTTTTAGTTGTAGTTGGACACATACCTTTATTTTACTTATTATTATTTTTTTTTTAATGTGGTGCTGAAGATCGAACCCAGGGCCTCGCACATGCTAGGCAAGCGCTCTACCACTGAGGCACAACCCCAGCCCCACCTGGGAAGCTTTGAAAGCTACTGAGGCCCCGACCTCACCCTGGACCAATTAAGAGTCCTGGAGCTGGGGACCAGATGCCTGGGTTGAGGGTTAAAGTACCCAGGTGATTTTAATACCACCCTCAGTCACAAGTCACAGATCATTGACTACCATGCCTCACGGAGGATGTTTGTAAAGCGAATTCCAATCAAAACTCTTTACCCTGGAAGTCGCCAGGAGAGAAGGGGGTCTAGATCTTAGAAGCCAGGTGTGGAAGGAACTAAGGTGGGAGGGGTCAGCCAAGGGGGGCTGGATGCTCATCTTGATATTCAGCCTTGTCTCTGCCTTTTGTAATTCCCAGAGGGTGAGCCTGCCTGGATAGATAGTCCTTCTGCTGGGGAGGATGCCCATGCCACCACGACATATCTCATCTTACCTGGACACATCCGGGTCCTGCCTGAAGAGCAGCAAGATGTGCTGAGTGTTGAGGAAAAGTGCCCAGCAGGGAAAGCAGCAGAGGAGCAGAATGAGCATGCCCCTCTGTAGGATGACCCCCACATATTTCAAGTTCTGGCTCCCGTATGTCTAGAGTATGCACATCCAAAACAAACCCATTAGCACAGAAATGGCACATCTTCGCTGTCCCCGAAAAGCCTCCTATCATACCTCATAAACAAACATGCCAGCAGAGACTCTGTCGTATTCTTTAGGGATAAGGTGACCATGGTGAGAAAAATGGGTAATTTTAGAATGTCACTGCCCATGAGAACCATCCCGGGGGATATTTTTAAACTGATGACAGGATCCCACTAAAGTTACTCTAGATTTAACTGGTCCAAGGTAGGATACCAAGTAATAATAATGTTTAAAAGCTCTCCGTGTGATTCTAATGTGCAGTCAGAGTTGCATAACCTGGAAACTTGTTAAAAATGCAAATTCTCGGGCTCCATTCCAGACCTACTAAAGTGGAAACTCTGGGGTCAGGGCCAGTGGTATGAGGAGCCAGTTCCTACTGACTTACAGAAGCCAAGTTGTGCGCGTCTCTTCCAGTTTCATGTTCAGTGCCATCTCCGTGGCAGCTTCAGATTAGTCAGAGGGAATGTTTACACAAATACACATGGTCCTCAGTTTAGGAATGGATCAATCTAATTTTTCAACTTTAAGATGGTACAAAGGAGATATGGGGTCAGTCCATGGAAACCATGCTTTGAATTTTGATTTTGGATCCTTCCCTAGGTTTGTAATATGAGGTATGATCCTCTCTCTTGGTGCTGGGCAGTGGCCGCTAGCCACAGCTCCCGGTCAGCCCCACAATCATGAGGGGAAACAACTGAATACAGTGTGTTGTGTGGATAAGCTAGGATATTTGGTAGGTTAGCGTGCTAAATGCATTTTCAACTTCAAATGTTTCCAATTTGATGGGTTTATTGGGACATAATAGCACAATAAATTTAAAATATCTATATATGAGTCAGAACGTTCCCCTCTACCTCCTCCCTCTTTCCCAAAGAGAATGTGAATATTAACCTACACCCCTAGATAGGGCCCAGCAACCTGTGTCTTGACAAACCCTTGAGGTGATTCTGATGCAGGCCCAGGTTTGAAAACTACAGGACCATTAACTCAAACGTGTACATGATAGAAGGGACTTCTGCAAAATATTCACTGTTTGGTCAAAACAAATAAGGTAGTTATACAGTGAACACTAGTTCACAATGTGGAAAGGAACCCAGCCACATTTCAAATAGAGCAGGCAAGGAGAACTGGAGTCAATTGAGTGAGAATGCCACAGGTATCTACTGTCGCAAATTTTCTCATCTGTGGGCACACATGACTCTCCTTCTTGCTGATGGGGTTCTGCCATCTATATTTAAGAGAAGATATTGGAGGCACTGAGAAAATGTGACCACTTCCATACCTGGGAGATGAGGGTGTCACATGCAGAAGATAAGCCATGTCCCACTGAAATGCCAGTGACATTGATAACCTGGAAATAAACCAAGGATAAGACCAGACATTGTTAAAGAGGAAAGAAAGGTAAATTTTCTATCTTGATGATCAAAGCCAGCCAAGCTCCTCCTTCAGCATTAACAAGCCAATCTAATCACCTTGTTAACTCCCCAGAACCCCTGCTCCAATCTATTGGGCCAGATTAAAGGACATACACACAAGATCAGAGAGGGATGAAAAATCTAGGTCAGAGGTCGTTACCCAGTGTTTTTGTATTTTAAGTCTTAGATATTTTGCTCTCTAACTTCAGGGAGTCATGAACCCTTCTTATGGGAACGGAATGGGGCACTAGCCATTTTGGATCAGTCCCTTGCTCAAAACTGTTGGTTGCGCCCCCCCACCCCCCACAATCCAGAAATCCACAATCTGCAATACTCTAAAATCTGAAGCTTCCGGACTGACAGGATGCTCAAAAAGTGGTCATGTGTTATCGCAGCAGGAGAAAATGAACACTGAGGGTTTTCATAAACCTCTGCTAGGAAGTCTTGTACGTACTGCAATTGCAAGTGTGACTGCATCCAGTTCCAGCTTGCCCAGATGGCCGCAAAACACAGAGCTTATGACACTGATCAGGAACATCATCAGCTGGGCCAAGAACTGGGAACAGAGGGGAAGAGGAGGAGAGATGAATGCCAGCCATCACAGTCCAAGGTGGCTTGGTGCCCTCCCCCAACCAGCTCCAGTGGGAGGTAAAGGCACCCAACTTTTAGAGAACCACTGCTAGCTTCCATAGTCCAATGTATGATTTCTGAGGGCCTTTTTGAAATAGCCAAATGTTTATTTGCAATCACTGGGTCAAAAACCCATTAAATTTTTTTTTTATTTCTAAAAATTTTAATTGAAGCCGAACTTGCTAGTACATGCCTGTGATACTAGTGACTCGGAAGGCGGAGGCAGGAGGATTCCAAGTATGAGGCCAACCTGGATAACTCAGCAAGATCCTTTCACAAAACAAGAAATAAAAAAGGGCTGGGGATGTAGCTCAGTGGTGCATTATTTACCCACACCCCTAGATAGGGCCCAGCACCCTGTGTTTTGACAAACCCTTGAGATGATTCTCATGCAGGCCCTGGGGTTCAATTCCAAGTACCAGAAAAAAAATGTTTTTAATTGACACATAATAATGATACATACTTATGGGGTACAGTATGATATTTAATATAGTATTACATTACCATGTAATGATTAGATCAGGGTAAGTGGTGCACCCATTACCTTCAACCCTTATCATTCCTTTGTGTTGGGAACATTCAAAATTCTCTACACTAGTCATTTTGAAATATGCATTTAATTGTTGTCAACTGTAGTTACCCTACTGTGCTATAAAACGTTAGAAGTTTACCTCCTATCCAACAGCATCCCTGTACCAACATCCTCTTTCCATTCCCCCAGAATCACATTTTTAAGAACATCCCAGTCTTTTTGGTGTTATTTTTCACTTCAGTTGCTCATGCACAGATCACATTAAATTTCTTCAGAAGTTTTTAGAGGTTGCTTTCTTGGATAACCTCTTTGTTCCTTGTTATTCCAGATTCCTAAATGAGAATTCTCCTGAAGAGAATATAGCTTTCAATGGCAAGAACTCACTCCAGTCAGCATGACATTCCACAATCAGCAGGGCCTAAGGTAGGAGTGAGATCATTCACTAAAAGGCCAGTATGATCTGGGATCCCTGGGCTACTGGTTGCACCCGAGTGTCTCTGTCTCTGTCTCTGTCTCTCTATGTCTATGTCTATGCCTCTCTCTCCCTCTCTCTCTCTCTCTCTTTCTCTCTCTGCACTGGGGATTGAACCCACAGGCACTTTACCTGTGTTTTTCATTTTTATTTTGAGACAGGGTCTCACCAAGTTGCTTAGAGTCCCTCTAAGTTGCTGAGGCTGGCCTTGAACTTGCAATTCTCCTGCCTCAGCATCCTGAGTCTCTGGGATCATGGGCACATGCCACTGAGACCCAGCTACCTATAATTCTGTAATTCTACAAGGCTCAGATATGAAAGCAAATTCAGTTTCGGGACTATTAAGCTATTCTTCCTCAAAATTCCAGTGACTATTAAGAATCGCACAATGCTTGGTCACTTATATCTTGAGGTTAATTTAAAACCAGTTCATGCTAGACCCAAGCAGTCCAGTATCAGATTATTCATGTCTTATGTCTCTCCAAGAGGGAGGTTCATTTGAACCCCCTCCCTAGGAGAAGAGAACAGGCATCTAAGGATTTGCTTGCCTGCCTCACAGAAGCCTTTCCAAAAACTGATGCCAAGGATGGTGACACTGTTGGTTCAGCTCCAGTGCTACCTCTTATAGCCTTTCAAGGGCTTCCAGTGACACAGCTTTTATTTCTGGTCTCCACACAAACTGTGCCAGCCCTTTAGCCATCCCAAAATTGCTGTATTAGTACCTGATCAGGTCCAGAGCTGTAACAAGGTGACTACTCTCCTTTCATCCCTAGAAACCACATCTAGAGAGACCATTTCCAACTCCAGTGATTGGCCAGACCTTCAAAATATGAATGGCCATCTTCTAACTGTGTGTGTGTGTGTGTGTGTGTGTGCGCGTGCACGCGCACCCAAGTCTTAGGAACATATCTTTCTTGCATCAGCTCCCAAACCCAGACCCTCTCTCACTACACCAGAAATCAAATGTGAATTGAATTTCCAACAGGGCCTCTTTCTACTGAGCAGAAGGAAGACTTTGGTATTGCACAAGAAAGACAAAATAAGACAGGAGGGAAATGGAAATGGAGGAGTGGTGATGGGGACCAAGAAGTGGGGACCAAGGGTTTGGCTCTGGGATAGGGGGCTTACCTAGCACAAGTCCTAAATTCAATCTCCAGCACCACAGAACAAAGAAAGGAAAAGACGTGAATAATCTGATTCTGTAGAATCTAAAGCTTGAGCCAGTGGATTTCCATAGCCTCTTGCCAGGACATAGTGACATGATTTAGGTGTTGTCATTTCCCTTACAGATGTTTTCTGTGGTTTCATTCAGTGGCGGCTGGTGGCTCTTTAAATTATGAATTCAGATAACTTCAAAGGTCTTAGGTCACCCAGAATCATTTCCCAATCTTTTCAGATGGCTGTTCGTGAGGTGTTGGGTGCCCAGAAACCATAGTAAACTGTCAGGTTCACAGAATGTTTTCTGTTTTCTCCTTTCCCACAGAACTTCATGTTTCCACCGCACCGTTCCCTGCCTCCTTACAGGTGACACATAAGCTATTTTTCATGTCTTCATGTGGAAAAAGGCTCATTCTCGCCTATCAACAGGCCTCTGGAGTGTAGCCGAGATTTTGCTATTATAAACCATACTGCTCCGAACATCTTTTCAGCTGGGTGGGGATGAGGCATTTTCTTAGGGTGAGCGCCCAGTCCAAGGGTAGGAATAGTTCAGATGTCTCTTATACAAAAGTCAAAGAAAGTTGAGCACAGTTCAACTGATCCAGTGAGACACACCTTCAATGTCAATGCCAGCTAAAACTGTTCCTTTGTGAAGGCAGCTGCAATTTTGCTGGGGTTATGGTAACAACCCTGTTCTCATTACCCAGGTCAGACAGCCAAACCCAGCCAGCCCATCCTGAGCCTCAGTCCCAGGAGGGACAGAGTTCTGGAACTTAGATTTACTAACTACTCCTCAGATTCTGGTTTCAAGCCCTTTGGGTGACTCCTAGTCACAGAATGTGGTTTGTGTACACAAAGGTCACCCAGGGAGCAAGGTGATAAAAATGCTTGTGTTCTGGCTGATTTTGACAAACTGATTTAGGAGATAAGGGGGGCTGACAAATCTGCATTTTAACATATCCTCCACCCTACCCCCATATATAGCCTATACATAGGTGCTCAAGGATAACACTTTGAGAATGTTCTAGACCCTTGGGGGGAAAAAAAAGCATGTTGCTATGCCAGGGAATTCACCAATCCTGGACAAAGTTTTGTTGCCCTAAGATATCTCAATGCTGCCTGAAAAACGGTGAACTGAACTGGCAGTGGCTCAGATGGAGCCAAATGGACAATAGAAATTGTGAAGAGTAGGGGCTGAATGCGTGTAGCTCAGTTACAGACCTCGTGCTTAGCATGTTCCAGGCCCTGGGCTCAATCTCAGTGAACTGCTCAGTGAACTGTACAAGTCCCCCAGAAGGACTTTTCTTACCTCTTCCCAGTGGGCCTGAAAGTCCACTCTTAGAGCAAAAGGTCAGCACAGAAAAGAATCTGCAAAGTCACCCCAGACAGCCTCCTTATACATGAGGAAGCTTCAGTCCAAAGTCACCTGACCGAATGCAGAATGTCTTTTCAGGAAAACGTCTCTGGAACTCAAAGTGCCTGGGTGTGCATTAACCAAACACCATTGCTTCATTCCTACCCAATGGAACCCATGGTAGAAAAGGAAAAGATGTTGCAGATGCAGGAACTCAGCTAAGTGGGATTTGCATGGTGAGCTGTAGGGACACAGCAAGTAGTCAGGAAAGGTCCCTGGAGGCAATGAGTTAACATTTGAATGAAGAATTTTTAGGCAGAGGGACCGAGTGTAGGTAGTGGGAGGGGGTGCTGAGGCTTCCTAGGAGAAAGGCAATGGAAGACAGTGAAAAAGCTAAGGCAGGAGGGTTCCATAGAGATCAGAGCTCAGAGGGACTTACAGGATCAAGTTCAGGGGTTTGAGCTGGGGCTCAGAGCTCAGATATGCATTTGAAAGGGATTTCAGAGCTCCATGTGGAATATTTGGGGCACCATGAGCTAGAAACACTGCTTGGAGCTATAGTGGTCCACTGAGAGAGTAGGAACGTGAAGTAGATCTCTCTGAGGGCCATTCAGAGTGCTAAAACCAGAAGTCTTCAGGAGGATGGGTTGGAAGGGGAACTGGAAAGGAGAGAGGGAAGGTCCTGGGCCCCTCTGGGGTTCTGTCTGTTTAGCTCCCACCAACACTCAATACTTCCCCACATCCTTTCACTCATCCTTTGACCTGTCTGGAAGAGGAACCATCTTCCCCTTCCTGGTTTTCCTCTCCTTTGGCCTGGATTGTCTCCTGTCCCTTGCAACCTTCCCCGCTGAATCTGACATATGTCACTGATCACTCCCTGTCAAGTATTTCCCTATACCCCCATGACAATTCACACTTTCAGCCTGCATTTGTTTGTTTTTTTTGTCTTGACTCCAGTTACATCTGATGTCACCCCTCTGCCCGAGCTATCCCTGTATCTTCTGCCCTGAAGCCCTAGAAGTTTCCAGAGCTCTTTCCCAGAAGTTTGGACCTAGGCATCCTACCTCTCTTACATCACAGTCCATGCCCACAGGGAAATCCATCTTTGGGGTTATTTTTTGAGGACTCTAACAATTCATCCACACACACAGAGAGAGAGAGAGAGAGAGAGAGAGAGAGAGAGAGAGAGAGAGAGA